TTGGTTAATTAAGTGGTCTAATAGCTCCTAAAAACTCCTAGAAAATTCTGGGAGATTTATGATGTTGCTAAGTTTAATCGTTGAGGTTTTCATGTCAATCAATGATTTAACCTAGCTCCTAGAAAATTTCTAAGTTCGCTAGACAATCCTTAATTGTTGTCCTTAGGGTGCCACTACATTATATGGGTTTAAATTGAAGTTCACACTAACCCTCAAGATAATTATTAAGGCATAGGAAAAATATAAAAGCAGTAAACACGCCATGTCCTTAGATCTAGGAGAGCCTAAGCTAAGTGCTCGTGGTGCGATCTACACATGCAATCTACGATAAACAGAAAGTAAATAAAACTAATAAAAGAGATTCATGAATGATTGGAACTCAACCATCCACTAATCCACTCCCCCATGATTGCTCTTCATGCATAGACCCTATGTCCAACATTTCATGCGTAGTGGATCTCCAAAAAAAAAAGCATTTAGTAGTGTAAGTAGTTTTAAAATACTTTTATATATATATATATATTATATATATATATATATATATATATATATATTATAATATATATAATATGAAAAATAAATATTTTAAAGTAAATTAGTTTGTAGTTGATGAATATATGTGAGACCACTACACCAACCTTTGAGTTTCAAAATAATTTTTAATTTCAAAATAATTAGAGTAATTAATTATTTAAATAATATCAAAATAGTCACACAAGGGTAAATGACAAGAATCTGTTAGTACACGTCAAAATCAGTCCCTAAAAATAATTTTAAAACAAAATCATATTTTTTGAAAAAATTAAGGGGTTATACGTCAAAATCCGATTTAAAAACGATTAAGTTATGATTTTTGCAAGTTTTAAAACCAATAAAAGCTAATTTTAAATATAGTGTCGAAATAATATTATTTAAAAATATTATAATATAAGATTAATTTAAAATAATAAACCTCTGGAATCATGAAATAAATTTTTGAAAATACAATAAGGATTACTAATTAAAATATTAGAGACTTAAATTAATTTTGCAAATTAAATATTGTTAAAAAGTAATTAAAAAAACTAATTACATAAAATAGTAATAAATAATTGAAATAACCTTAAAATAGCAAAATAATAGTTGTAATAATAAAAATAACTATAAACAGTAATTAACTATTAAAAATAATAATTATTATAAATATTGCAATTAAAATAATTAGATAATAATAATAGAATTAAAAAATAGTTTTAACCTTAAATAATAATATAATAATAATATAAAAGTAAAAAAAACAGTAACTAAAATAATTTAAAAAAGTGATCATGATAGGTAACTATAATTAAATAATATACAATTTAATTATAAAAAAAGCAATTTAAAATAATAATAAAAATAGGTAATTTACTGTTTTTAAAATAAAATAAAATATATTAAGTATATTTGACTGAAATTAATTTTAAATCGTAGAGGACGAAAAGACGATCAATTCGAGGTATTATACGTAATTTTTGGAGTTAAAATGAATTTATTATGATTTATTGAGTGAAAATACATTTAAAATCTATTTAAAATAAATCTAAATCCTAAATTATGGTCGGGTGACACGTGGCGTGTCACGACCCGACCCGATCCGGGACGGATCCCGCTCGCAACCGGGTCGCGCGACTCCAAACCTTTTATCCAGGATCTGGCTTTGAAATTTGCTGCGGAACTGAATCTTCCAAATATTTCAACTCAAAAGCCAACATACAGACAGACACAGAGCTTACTATGAATCGTCAATTGCAAGCGGAACAAAAACATCGACATTTCTTTTCCTCAAAATAATCATCTACAACTACAGTACATGACTTTTAGACAGAAAAGAAAGACAGAACAGAAAAGCCATGACTGTACAAAAATCAAAAGGTACAAAACAATACCGTATAACAGATCAGACTCTGAACTCTAGTCCTGGACTTCCTTCCCTTTCCGAGACCTGAAAACCACCAGAAAGCAAGGGTGAGCTCAACAGCTCAGCACACAAACCTCCAATCAAATCCTCATAATCTCACAACAGAAAAATATCAGGAGCAAATCTCGATCAGAACATTCGTACAGAAATCAGAGCAACAGATCGAATCAAATCAGATATCAAAATCAGAACGGACAGGATTATCATATCAGAATAGAAATAAAACAGAAATCATTATATCACATCATAGCTGATAGCACTTACAGAAATCAGAAAAATTAGATCAATCACATCAAAGAGTACAGAAATCAGATAACAATTAGTTCAGAACAAATCTTCCTTCCAGATATCAGAACTTCCCCCTTATATCTCCTTGTGCCATATAGCACCCCTCTTCCCCTTATAGCTTCCTTTTGTGCATACAGCACCAAACTTCCGCTTATGCCTCCCATTTGTGCTCACGGCACCAGAACAGATGTGCTTATACCAGAATACATATATAGTGCTTATAGCACCTAAACGGATAGCAGAATTTCAGAACTTCACAGAACCTCCCCTTATAGCTCCCTAAATAGCATATACAGAATCAAATCATTTCAGAGCAAATCCGGACAAATCAGAAATCAGACAAAAAATCGGGCAGCACAACGGCAGTATACGGAATTTACACAATTTTTCCTGAAAATCACAATTCACCAAATTTGCACAGAAATATAGATAACAACATTTCAGAACATTTATTCTACTGCACATAAAATTTTCAATTATACAGAAAAATCCAGTCGACTAAAAAAACACAGTCGAAGCAAAAATACCCGGACAAAAAATCTTCAAAATAATAGTCAAAAACGTGCACACCCGGCACGGCAACAATATACGAAAAGTTACGCGGTAAAAACTGAATCAATCGAAAGATACGGACGAAAATCACTAACGCAAACAAAATCCGGACAGAAAATACCGCCCAAACACAACGATCTGAAAAATTGAGAAAGGCGGAATGTGCTTACCTTGCGTACAACAATTTCTCGAAACAATCTCGTCGGACGAAAAACGCTCGCGTCATCCGAAAATCAACTTTTCTAAAAAGCTTTTCGACTTTTCTCTCTCCTCAGAAAAATCAGATATTTTATTTTTGATTTTCCTCTCTCTTCAAAACGACTGATATCAGCTTTATAATACACAGATCATCCAGGACGATCAGACCAAATTGGATCGTCCTGGACGATTTCCAGAACTATTTTCCGGCTGATATTTTGAACAGTGCCAATCGGCCTGGCCGATGTCCTCGATCGGCCTGGACGATGCCTACAGGAAAACACCTGGAACAAATCTGGGCAAATTCTGGAGCAAATCTCAACTGATCATCCCAGGACGATCCCAGATCGTCCTGGACGATCCTGGAGCAGATTTTGATATTACATGGCGGCCCTGGATTGGATCCCAGGACTGCGGCCAATCATTAGCGGCGGCACAATGATTGCGCCGCCAACCAATGATTGCGGCAATCATGCCGCAATCACGACCGTGGATACTTATCCACGTCGGCCTTTCATCTTGGCCGTTGATCACGCGCGGTGTGAGATCAAGGGCTGAGATCCCGTCGGACCGGAGACCTGTTCGTCCAAACGAAACTCGCGGCTATACAGACCCACGGTCTGACTTGATCCGAGCCGTTGATCCGAGGATCAACGGTTCGATCGATGGGATGCCCGTGCGGGCGGTCAACCGAAACCCTAGAACCAAAAGTTGCTTCGTTCTCTAGATTGGGTGGACAAAATGCGACGAAGTTTTAGACACGACCTCTACTAGTGAAGAGCATCAGTGGGGAATATTTTATTTGAATTAATACGCGCTAATGACGACGCTAATTAACCATAAGTGTTCTAACTAGGGTTTGAGACATACCTCAATCCACAATGTGGATTTGGTCGATCTTAGGCTTGTTGGACTCATGGACTCCTCACGAACAAGTTCCTAGTTGATGTCGAGCTCCAAAACTCCTTGGATCGAATTGATTTCGCCGTAGAAGGGTTCAGCCTTCAGTCTCGTCGGGATCTCGCCGTCGGCGATTCGAGGAGGTCCGAGTTGGGTTGGAAAACGTGGAGGAAGGTTGCAGGAGTGCTCTCACCAAATCTCAGGACCTGAGGTGGTCTCGAGATCAAGCAAGAGCAAAAAGTCCCTAAAACGACCTAAATTTCACTATTTAAACTCCTCTCTCTCTTGGACGGTGGAGATGAGATCAAGGGTGAAATCCAGAGCGAGAGTGAGTGATTTAGGCGGGATTTTGAATTCTAAAACGTCAATGAGCATTTAAAACCATTAAAGGGGCTTTAATTAGCCTTAATAGGTCAAGATTGACCTATTTAAGACCTGGGTTGACCAGTCAAGGGTTGACCTGATCAACCCAGTCAAATAGGTCAGAGGGGACGTGAGTTTGAGTCTTGGATGAGCTGGAATTGATTTGGATTAAAAATAACTTCTTAAGGCTAATTGGGTCAACCTGGGTTGACTTGGTCAACCAGGTCGACCCAGAGCTTGGACCTGGGCTCAACAGACTTAGATCGACCCACTAAACTGGTTAGGGGTGGCTTTGGGCTCTATCTTGGTCAATTTGACCAAGTCAACCTTCAAGACTCAAGGATTTGACAAAATCGAGGTTAACAACATTAACATGTTCGTTGATTCTAAGTTCAAACATAATTTGAACTTGGTTCGAACACTACTGATTATGTAAGAATTTGAATTCAAACTTCAAACAATATTCAAATTCTAATATGTTTGAATCCATTTTAAATGCTTCAACTTCTAAAATGGCTCAAGAATATAATATTTTATCCCTTATTTTAAGTAACTTCGGCCAAAAGAAAACTTTCAGCCTAAAAAGTTTTGAGAAAAAAACATATAGATGGTATTTTTTTAATTATATATAAATAAATAATTAATTAATTTATGGTTTGTATGTAAATCAATAAGGGCAAATTGGTAAAGTAGAATCCTGTAGTTTTTAAGTAAATAGAGCAAAGTGCCAACCTGATGAGGTTCCGTCCTGAGAACACAAGAACGAGCCCTAATCGCCATCCCTTCTCTCGCATGTTCTTGCTTTGCACGATCTGTCTGAAGGAGTCCTTTCTTGCGGTTCTTCAAGTTGAAATCTTTATTCTTTCGTTTCTGGAGGTGAGATTCTTAGTTGTGTTATCTCATTAGATGAGTAGCCGCAACAAGCCTCTTGGTCGATTACTATCTCTGAACTTCAAAGAGGATGCCAAGGCTTCTAATCAACCATTACGTGGGTTTGTTAAATCACTAAAATCTAGACCTTACTGTCAGGATATAGTAAATCCATGCTCTAGGCTGAATCTTTTAGATTTATGAAGCCAGGATTTAAGAAAGCCTCTTCAATTTGCTTGCTGTGTTTGGCGTAATTCTAACTTTGCAAACCTTGATATCAAACAACCCTAGGAGTTAGGTAGAAAAGTAAGTAATTAACATTACGTTATCGAAGCATGAATTTACGCTAGCACAACTGAACTTTGTATATTTCTTGAGGGTTGATCATCTGTCATCATTTTCTTTGTTTCTATTATGTTGATCCATTTTACAATACCTTGTTTAACCTGGAATTTTTTCTACATCCTTTTCAATCAGTGTGTGTGCTTGTTATATTGGTTGATAGTGTTTTTTTTTTTTCAGCATTATGTTCTTTCTTTTGTTTCAGTCTAATTGACACTATGAGTTGTTGGGCTTGCTTATAATTGTAAATTGATATTGAATTTCTTACATATGCATCGCAGGAAATGTTTGAACTTTTTATGGTGGCCTTATGTAGTTATGTACCATGTAATATTTTGTTTTTCTTTCTTTTTTTCTTAGGAAAAGTGATATTTGAGACTGAACATCAAGATTATGCAAGAAAACATGTTAGGAAAACAAAGCAAAGAAGGATGAAGCACGCTTTTGAGAAAAAAAGAGTTAATAAATACTACTTTATTTATATATGAAAAATGGAATAGGACATATGAGATGAAATAAGCCAGATATATCGAGAATCATTGAGTATAAATTATTATTATCACCCTTGGAGTCTTCTGGGTTATTTCATTACATTGCTTTCTTAACTGCTCAGCCATTATTACTCTTCGTTTGATAGGTATCTAAAGGTTTGGCATCATAGAACTTGCTTTCTGAAGTTCCATCACTACATTTACGCCCCTTTTGCTACACGATCATTCATCATTTTTTTTTTCTTTATTAATTTCTCTATAACATTGTCTTTCTGGCTAGTAGAAGAGATAGGCTGGTAGAACTTCATTTGTTACGGTTGGCTTAGTGAGGTATTATTAGCTTCAAATTTTCTAATAGCCAAAAGAACACTGGAAACTCTTGTAACTTAATTTTAAAGTTTGTAGCAATTGCATTTTATTTTCTATAAAACTAATGGGATATTATTTCTGGTACTGTTATTCCTTTTGTGAATTGGAGTAAAATAATTACTAAATCACTTCAAATTTCCATGTTTTATGCCTAATCCGTATTTTGGTTCTATGAATGTACCCTCTCATACACCATGTAACTATCTTTGCTGACCAATGCATTACACATGTTGTGATTCCTTGTTGTTGCTGATTTTGGACATAATTTTGCTTTGCAAATTGACAGCTTTTGCTGATATTTTCATTTATTATTTTTTACTAGTAGTCAATTGAGTCTTTATAAGACAGTACCCAGACTTGCATATATGCTGAATGCTGCGGTTTTTTATTTTATTACTGTAGGCAGTACCCATCTATTGGCATGGCAAGTTACTTGGGAAAAAATACCTCTAATGGATGTGTCTATGTTTGCAAATTGCCTCCTGGAACTGATGAGAATATGCTGGCTGAACATTTTGGCACCATAGGGTTGCTAAAGGTATGGGTTTCACAAGGTATTATGGAAAACCATCACCACAACTCTATTTTTTATTGTATTTACTCTGCATTCATGAAAATGTATTTGTCATGTGATTTTTTCCTAATTTAGTCTCTGTTTATTTATTAGAAGGACAAAAGGAGTGGTCGGCCGAAGATTTGGTTGTATCGAGACAAAGTTACTAATGAACCAAAGGGCGATGCAACAGTTACATATGAAGATCCTCATGCAGCTTTGGCTGCTGTGGAGTGGTTTAATAATAAAGATTTTCATGGAAGCACCATTGAGGTTTATATAGCAGAGTCAAAGGCTAAAGAATCTGGAGAACAATTTAACCTTGTTGCAGATCTCAACATATCTGGGGATTTAGGAGGGCAAGATGAAATAAATGGTTCTGGAGGCAGAGGTAGAGGGCAGGTTGATGCTTTAGGGAAATCATGGCAGCAGGATGGAGACTGGTTATGCCCAAATACAAGGTCTGTGCTGTGATATTGGTGAGCAGCCCTTTCTTTCACCTTTCCACATTTGCATAACTTTTGAGTGTTGATATACAATTTCCTCATGATCTTTTATTTTAGCAGTTGTTCCAATGTAAATTTTGCCTTTCGTGGCGTATGCAATCGCTGTGGGACTGCTCGTCCTGCTGGTGCTGGTGGAATAGGAGCTGGGCGTGGTGGGCAGGGAAGGGGCCGTGGTAGCAATGAAGCAGGTGGGCGTGGTCGAGCAGTAGCTGGCCCTACCACTGGGCTGTTTGGTCCAAACGATTGGTCATGCCCAATGTAAGACTCTTGTCTCAATCAAGGTGGAATTACTTAGGAGTTTTACTAAAATCTTGCTTGTTGAACAGTATTAATTTGCTTATTTTTGTGTGGCATTTGTTTGTTGTTATAAATGATTTTGAAAAGTTCTTTTTATTGTTAGAATATATTCAAGGTAGTTGGAAAAAAATTACGAATTTGTCACATGTTCCTATGGTGAATGCTAGGATTCTCCATTTTTATTTTTCTAGCTGAGGCAAGACAACCTTAAAAAATAGAGAAGGCAATAGAGAAGCTGGGAAAGATGAAAAGACACTTGAGCAGCTCTCTCTGGTTTGGTGTTTTCTACACTAATGCTTCTACCAATTTCTTCTCAATTTTTTTTTATTTTGATTGTTATGCCTGGAAAACAAGAATGGTGGGAATGAATTATTTCTTATTTGTTCAATGCATTTGATACAAGCTGTATATAGATTATTCTAATAGTAAAATTAGGAAAAAGTCTATAGAAAGATATGAAAACTATTTACATCCTTACATCTTTAGCTGAAATGCATGAAATATATAGAATAACCTACCTACTTTAAATATATATAGTCATATTTAAATACATAGCTTTGTAGCATGCCTTTCATGTCAAAACCCTTCCTGAAATTTCTTCTTTAATATTTGGCCCTTCTATAACATCAAATTCCTTCACAATCAATTTTGGTTTCATTCTTTAGCGTTTGTAGGTTCCAACACTCTCTTTCGAATTCAAGATAGTTGCTTTCCATTCCCAACTTGAGATGATTTGATGGGGACATCAGATCGTGGAAGGTTTATCAGAGACGTGGTCGCTGACCTAAGGCCACGATTGAGTTTTTATATTTTTGAGTCATTGGTGTATTTTATTATTCATGTATTTTGTTATTTGCTTAGGTGTATTTTTTTTATTTCCCTTTGTACCCCTCTTATGGGAGTTGTCGTATGTAAACCCAAAGGGCATTTGAGTCTTTATTTCTTTGAGTCCATTGTACTTGGCTATATATAACCCTTTGCTTATTGTTTCATGGTTAATGAATGATTGCTTATGAAATATTCTTCTTGCATGAGCTCTTGTGAGAGTTTGAGTGTTTGATGGAGAGAGATCCCTAGGAGAGGGATATTTGCGCACCACCCACCAACCTTGGAGATGGCCGGGTTCGTGGTTCGTTATTTTGCTCGACACCTTGTTTTCCCCTTACACCCAAGCCACCAAACTTCTTCCCATCGAGCCTTTCCTCCCACCTCCAAAACCACTACCCAATTTCCTTCCCCACATCCCTCACCCGTGCACCTACTTCCCCTCCCCAACCCACGGCCAAGCTCCCACCCGAGCCCAACCGCCGGCCATAGGCTCTAGCCGCCGGCCACAGTCCAGCCCATATTCCCTCTTGAAGTTTACTGATTGGGTGTGAATTGATTTGGGGATAATTTTGATCCTTGAATTTGAATTTCGAAATCCTTCCTAAAATAACTCAACAATTTTAGGAAAGTTTCTATTTTGATCTAATTGAAATTACAATTCAATTGGATTTAAAATAATTCTTTCATAAATTCAAAACTCAAATTAAGAAACTTTAATTGCCCTCATAAAAGCCCCCCTTGCCCATTCATGCTGCCGGCCCCCTTGTATGAACAATTGGGATTTATTTCCTAATTATTTCCTAAACCCCCTTTGAAAATATGTATTATTATTTTCCCTCCACCTCCTCAGCCGAAAACTCCACCTCCTCAGCCGAAAACTCCACCTCCTCAGCCGAAAACTCCACCTCCTTGATTGAAATTGTTTCTAAAGTTAACCACTTGCTTTAGGAAACAATTTAAATCCCCTACCTCCTCATCCTTGCCGCCGGCCTAGCCTCCCTTACCCGCCCCCTTTCTCTGTCAAAATTCCCTCTCATTGTTGACTCTCCATACACAAAAATCTGAAATTTTATTTCAGATTTCCTCCTTGGTTCTCCCTCCTTTTCAATTGTAAGAGAAACTTCTTTCTCTTCATTCATCTCAAGACCCTTAGCAAGATAAAGAAGATAATTGTTTCCTAACTCCCATGAATGGCGGATCCGGAAACTGAATACGGCATCACTTGGGACGAAGACGGCTTCACCGACATCCTACGTTCCACCTTCTTCGACGTGAATCTTGAGATTGACCGCACCGTTGAAGGCTACGTGGAGCGCATCCTATTTGCTTTGACGGAAGCCATTGACGAGCACTTCGAAGGCGTCGAGTAGAGGATCTCCACCTCTCCCTAACGAAGGTTTCTCTTTTCCCTTGCGTCTTATTCCTTTTAGTCTAAATTCTCGTTGGTTTGATTGCAGTCACGACGGACTCTTCCAATTGCTTTTGCTTAAGCTTAGTAATCGTAGGTTTTGAGCGCACCTCGATGCATCCTAATTCTCATTGTTAGATTAGAGATTAAATTGAAAACTAATACTACGCATTGTGTTAATTTTTCTATTTATTTTGGAAGTTTCAAAACTCATAGCATTTGATTTAAACCTAAGTGGATAACTCCTAATCGTTTTGAATCGTTGTTTGAATTCGCTAGTAATTTTGTTCTTGAATTATTCAAATCACAAGTTGTGCAAACTCCTTATAAGTTAAATTGCATTTCATTTACATAGTCCTGCATCATGATTTCATGAAAAATTGCTCCGTTAAGTCTTTTGTAAACACATATGCCAGTTGATTTCTTGAGGGCACATAAGACGTGCTGATTAAGCCATCTTCTAGCTTTTCCCTGATGAAGTATTTATGAATGTCAATATTTTTTGTTTGGTCATGCTGTATTGTGTTATGACTATGATCAAAACCTTTTGTTGACTTGTCGTTACAATACAAGTTCAAGGACATTCTCACTTGTTTTGTTGTTCATCTAAGTTGATCTTTAGTCATAACACAAATTTCTCAGACCATAGCTCTGAATTTTGATTCAACCCTAATCTATCCCCACAACGGTATGCTTTTTTGCTCTTTCGTGCTACAACATTTTCGTTAAGAATTGTGTAATAATTTGATGTTGATCTTCTATCTACTAATGAACTTGCATAATCTGCATGTCGACTCTAATGTGGGTTTATTAGCATGCATGAATCGACTAATCATGCCTGCTAGTTATCTAATGTTTGGTTCGGTGGGCAAATTTGATAGTTTACTTACCAATTATTGATATATATATTTTTATCAACTACTAGTTATTTTGTTTTGTCTAGCTTCTAATTTTCTTCTTTAATATTTGGTCCTTCTATAACACCGAATTCCTTCAATCAATTCTGGTTTCATTCTTTAGTGCTTGTAGGTGTAGGTTCTAACACTCTCTTTCAAATTCGAGATAGTTGTTTTCCATTCCCAACTTGAGATGATTTCATGAAAAATTGCTCCGATAAGTCTTTTGTAAACACATATGCTAGTTGATTTCTTAAGGGCACGTAAGACGTGCTGATTAAGCCATCTTCTAGCTTTTCCCCGATGAAGTATTTGTGAATGTCAATATATTTTTGTTTGGTCATGTTGTGTTGTGTTATGACTATGAGCAATACCTTTTGTTGACTTGTTGTTACAATACAAGTTCAAGACTATTCCCACTTGTTTTGTTGTTCATCTAAATTGATCTTTAGTCATAACACAAATTCCTCGGGCCACAGCTCTGAATTTTGATTCAACCCTAGATCTATCCCCACAACTTTATGCTTTTTTGCTCTTTTCATGCTACAACATTTTTGCCTAGAATTGTGTAAGAATTTGATGTTGATCTTCTATCTACTAATGAACTTGCATAGTCTGCATCTATGTCGACTCTAATGTGAGTTTATTATCATGCATGAATCGATTAATCATGCCTGCTAGTTATCTAATGTTTGGTTCGGTGGGCAATTAGATAGTTTACTTACCAATTATTGATATTTATTTTTATCAACTACTAGTTATTTTGTTTTTCCAGCTTCTAATTTTTGCTTAATATGTGTAGCAATCATTTTGATAGTTGTTTGGGAGGCGCGGCCTTTGGCATTATTCATTAGATATACCAAAAAAAAAAAGTGTTAGTTAGTGGTATGATTTGTGGTTTTCACTTTGATGAGTTTTTTGTTAACTTCGGAGGCTTAGTTTGTCCTTTTCGTGGGATTCTTGGGTGCTTTTGTGTGTGCTATTATAAGCTTCCTTCTGGCCGAATTATTGTATGATTTCTTGAACAGGAGTAATCTGTGAGACCTGCAACTGTTGCTGTTTGGTGGCTTTGGAAAATTAAGATTGGAAGATTGCTAGGATAATTGAATTGAGATTTAAAAAAAAACATTGAATTGAAAATTAATTTAAATTTAGATTTTGATTGATTATTTGCTGACCTTATTTCCTAGCCCATTTTATGAGGAGTTATAAATAACAATATGAGCCATATAACTGTGAACTTATGGCTTAAATGAAATTTCTCATTTCAGTTTCTATATTCTAAGTGTAAATTGGATTTATGATTCCTTTAAGCATGATATAAATGTGCTATTTAATTCCATGAAGTCATTTCCTTGTACTAACATGAGGCTTGGTTTGTTCTTACTTTGGTAAATTCGTTTTTTATTATATTTTGTCTACAGAATTTGTAATCGCTTGTTTTGTGCTATTGATTTTGATCAGAACATGACATGACATAAATCTGATTTGTGGAAATTGATTCATTCACTTATTTTAATTGTTTCCAATTTTTAGTTGACATTCTTAAATATGTTTGATCATTTCATTACACTTTGATCTTCAATTTTAGCATTGCATTGTTTTCATTTAAAGAAAGTGTGCTATTAAGTTATTTGTGTGAGCATATTTGAAATCATATCAATTATATTAGGAAATCAGTATGCATGAATATTTCACTTAGCCAGAGAACCCTAATTTATGTGGTGATACAGAACTCACAGGAAACTGATAGAAAATAGTCACCATTCTGAAATTCAGCAACGTTGATGCAGAAATTCCAAACTTAGTAGAGAAACAGCAAAATAAGATCTCCAATTTAGCAAAAGAATAAGAAAAACAGCAAGAGATTTAAGAATCTTCAATTCGAGAGGAAGATTCAACTCTCCAAATCTCTAGCCAAAGACTAGAGCCCAAATACCACACAAGAGATCTCAAATTCAGCCTCCAAATTCAAGATAACCCTAACCCTAGTCAAAAGGAAATTACTTAAAGCAAAATATAATTAAGTAATCCCTAAACAGCTCCCAAATTTAAATTTTCCCTCTTAAACCCTTGCTCCAATCAATGAGTGGGCCCCACCCCTATTCCGCCCCCTCCAGGTTCCGCCTCCCTCTTTGGGTCTGCCTCCTATAGAAGTGAACCGGTCCAGGAGGGACCGGTTCAGCTTGGGCCGGCCTAATAGAAACATATTAAAATCAAGGTGTTGATGAACCTTATTTAAGAGGTTTTGCATTTTAATGCACTCTTAAGGCCTTCGATGCTTTGGGCCTTCTTTACCCTTGATTGATTAAATAGTTCAATATCTAAAGTCCCAGCTTTGAATGCATTCTTAACTGGCCCTGTATGCCAATTTACTCTACATCACCCTGGAGATTCATCACTGCCTACTGATCACATCTAGGTATCACATTTTCCTTTGTTTTTAATTATATAATATATATATATATATATATATATATATATATATATATATATATATAATAGTGTTATGGGCCGCCCAGGAGGGACCGGTTGGACCGGTCCGGGTCTACCAGAGGAGGCGGAACCAACATGGGGGGGGGGGGAAGTTTGTGGGGCCCAATATGGGCTGATTTCATGTGTGGGAGGGAAAAATATTTGAATTAGGGGCTCATTAGGTATTTTGCAAGAGTCCTTTTGCTTTAATTAGGGAATAATGTTAGTTTTGTTCTCTCATCTTGAATTTGAATATTTTTGAGATCTAGGGTTTGTGTTCTTGGGCTCTAGGCTACGGCTAGAGATTTGGAGAGTCATTCCTTCCTCTCGGATTGAAGGAAATTGTATCTTTGTTTGCGTTCTTGAATCTACTAGTGAAAGACATTGTTCTTCTCTATTTTTCTTGAGTTTTCTCCATTAAAGCTGCTGCGATTTGCTGTTTTCCTGCTGTAAACAGCAGTTTTCTCTTGATTTTGGTTAGGTTTGCTTGCGAACTCAAGTATTACCTTAGGGTTACTTGCGAACTCAAGTATTTCCTATCAAATAGCAGCTATGTTGTCTTATTTAAACCTTTTCTTTTCTTACCATTGACTAGCTTGCCAATAATTGTTAAATGGATTTTCTTTTATAATGTTCAACTTGTTTAGCACTCAAGGATTTATGATTGTACAGGTGTGGAAATATCAACTGGGCAAAACGTTTGAAGTGTAATATATGTAACACCAATAAGCCAGGTCACAATGAAGGTGGCGTGAGGTAATAACGTATCACGAGCATTTTTACATTTTAATATAGATTTTCACTCATGTTGTTTGTTGTGGTTCATGGTCGTCACTTTCCAAATATCAGTTGTCATATGTTATTTTGCTGATTGTAGTGTATCATATAAAAGAGATGCGATCATAAACACCTGAAATGGTTTCTAGAATTAAGTAATTTGGTTTCATGGCTTCTTTTCAGCGAGGTTTACTGAGATTTTCTAGTCTAAAATAATCTCTAGTGATTCATTGGGTCTGTAAACGATTTATTTGCTTGTGTTATTTTTTTACTTTTTAGAGGTATGTTTTGGTGATTACTCCCATATGACATTTTCTCTTTTGCAGTTGTCATTGATATCAAGGAAATCTTACCTAGCGTTAGTTAAACTACAGGATTTGTTGCTTATGACCTCAATTATTTCTTCATAATATCCATTTTGTTCGGAAGGCCTATGGATATAGAAAGCAAGTTGAGAAATTGATTCTTGATATTGTTCTACTTGTGATAATATGTTGATCGAATATGCTGAGAGTCTCCCATGCATATTCATCAATGCTCAAATAGTTCCGAGTTCAATATTTATGTGCTTGCTACTGCTTGTATCTCGCTTTTTATATGCACAACACGAGCGTCTGCTATGGAGAATCTTAGGATTGCTATCCATAGGAAGTTGAAATTATAGTTGTAGACTTGTAGGCTAGTTTCTGTAATTGAAGCTTAATTTTACTTTTCGTGCCATTTACAGAGGGGGGCGTGGTGGTGGTTATAAAGAACTTGATGAAGAGGAAATAGAGGAAACAAAAAGACGTCGTAAAGAAGCTGAGGTTTGCCCCATTTAACATTTTAAAATTGTTTTCTTTCTCTATATAACTTTTTTTTTTACGCTGTCCTTCAAGGATGATGGAGAGATGTATGATGAATTTGGAAACCTCAAAAAGAAATACCGTGCAAAAGCCCAACAGGCTGAAGCTGCTCATTCCCTTCCAGGTTCTGGCCGTGCTGGATGGGAGGTTGATGAATTAGGTATTATCCATTATATTTTGGTGCCTTTTTAACTAAATGATATTGTAATTAGTATTGGAATTCATTGAAGGTGCCATGCGCAACTTAGGTTTTGATTATTTTTTAGCGCCTTTGATTGCTTGCTAACTGAACTTCATCAAAGTAACTATCAGCAGAAAATATTGGTTTATTCGTGGTTTTGACCTGAACAGAAGTTTGATCTTTCAATGAAATACAAAAGAAGAATGGCTTTCTGGCAGAACTTCAGTTGGATGTAAGGTCGTTTAGAATCGAAGATGTCTTTTCCAAACTAAAGCCTCTCATTATGCTTTTAAGTTTGACATCCTAAGTTATTTATGATAGTTGGCCCCTTAAACTGATACTTTTTATAAAGTTGTTTCTCAATCACACACCTTTCGCCTTCGAATGTACAGCTTGAGTTTTTCCTCCATAACTCCCCACACTACGACATCCTGAATACAAACCAACTAATGATCAATGTATGCAAAAAATGGAGTAGAAATAAATAAAAATATCCTCACTCCACTATCTTCACCTCTACTACCCCATCCATTCAAATAGCCAATAAAACATTTCCCTATCCTCTTCTTGTCTCGCTAATCTCTCCTCATCTCACTGACCAGCCCCACACACAGCCACCAGCATCTACATCTACCTGTATCACCCGATCAATACCCCCATCCACTTACCTATCACTGCCAGCTCCAGAATCCACTCCCAGCTCCTACACGCACCGCCTTCCAGCGACCTATTCCCGCTCCAGCCCTTCCACAAGCTCACCGTAAAGAGAAAAATAAGTTTCCGTTGGCCAGATTTACCTAAAGCACTAAACAAGTGCTGGAATTGCTAAAAGCACTTAAAATGCTATTTACTCTAGTACCCATACCATCATGCAATGCATGCTTTGATATGTGTTTTAGCGGAGAAATAGTTTAACCTTGCTACAACAATTTGTATAATCAAACCGTGAATATATTTTATTAACATTGGAAAAAAATGCAAATGAGATTTACTTCCTTAACTCCTAATCCTTCACAATTCAACATATCGATCTATATATCAAATTGCTCCATTCAATGAGTAGAACACTATGATGTAAATTTGTTGAATTTCATGAAGGTTGGGATTTTGAGATATTTTTAAATTGAGTTGCATATACCTCATCAAATATTGGTTTATACATAATAAGAGGATATTATAGAGATTTGAAGTTATGTTTTATGCAAATAATTAGGCCTGTTATGCTTAATGGATCTAATGTATTGGACAATAAAAAAATCATTGTTAGCTAAGTTTGAGTGTGGCAAAAACGAGAATTTTTATATGGATTTGTGGAAAATGTATAATGAAAGAATGATTCAATTAGAGGGATGATTGAGGTGGATATCTATTGAATATAGCTGGTTTGTTTGTGTACAATGAAGGGTTACAAATGCACTTATTAGATGGATAGTTATGAAGGAAAATGGGTAAACTTAAGATAACTAACAAGGATAGAAGTTACTTAAAAGTAATTTATGAAGAATAAGCTTAACACACAAACATCACTCTTTATAAATGAATGAAAACTTATAAAATTTAACTCAAAATGGTTGAGATAAGACTAATGTTGATGTTGACATTTGTTCTCGAAACTATTACATTACTCATAATTATTTGCCAAGAATTTAGAATATTATGTGGTGCATAATTTCCATTCTTTGCACTTGAATTTTTTTTTTTTTTTTTGGTTTGGTCTTTAACAGATTGTTGCCGACTATAGCATTTCATTACCAATCACTTCTAACATTTGGCTTATTTGATGTTGTTATTAGGCTTTGATTATTCTTGCCTGTGGCCTTCTAGATATAGCAAGGCTTTGTTTGGCTTGAGTGAAATGAGAGGATCAAATAAAATGGGAAATGTTAATGGTGAAAAGGAGTTGAACTGAAATACGTAACTTTGTTTTTTTGTAACCGTTCTCATTTGGTTTGAATGAAATATTAATAAAAATAAAGTGAGATTGACATACTACACAATTTTTACATAACACCTAAATTTAATATTTATAAAATACCTTTATTTCAATCACATCAAAATATATACTTGAAAAATGTGTATTTCTATTTATAAAAGTAAATACTTGTGGAATGTTGATGTGATATAAAGATTTGGATTTCAGGTATCTAAATATAAAAATTTAGATGTTAGATATATAAATGTATAAGAATTTTGGATACCAATGAAATCCCTATAAAATAAATTAAATAGATATGTCCAGCAATTTATTTATCTCATTTGTAACTGAAGGAAAACTTCTTTGCAGCTTGCAGTCGGAAATAATACTGGTTGTCTTTATAGTAATTTCATAGTTGCATCAAAATTCTGCTTTATTGCTGTAAAAAATGATCTATGTTACAGTTTATTTTGCGGGCACTCGGCATCGCATAAGTGATTTAATTTTTCTTTATAACTTTCTAGATAGAAGTTTTCCTTATTTTGATTGGCTATTACAGCATTGACTGAAAGAAATGGGCGAGAGAAAAGCAAGTACAGAGCAAGCGACCATAGTGACTCAGATATGAGCAGGGGAAGGGACAAACGAGGACAGGGTTACGAGAGAGAGAGGCACAGAAGCAGGAGCAGAGAAAGAAACAAGGAGCATGTGAAGGAGAGAAGCAGGGATAAAGACAGGGATCGAGATTACGATTATGAAAGAAGCAGGGATTACGGAAGAGAACGCGATCGTCATCGAGATTGGTAGTGATTGATATATTTACTTCCAGCTTCTACCAAGGCATTTAATTTTTATGAGGATTAAACTTGTATTATAACTCGTTTGATCGGACAGTGCAAAGTCCGGTTTATATTGTTGCTTCTATCTGATAATCTTTATCATGTTTGAGTGTGACTAATTATTACCAAACTGAAATGTTCGTTTTGAAAAATGTCGGTCTCAAGGTGATCAATGGCATTAGGACAGTTTTTGTTAGTTTTATTTTTCAGATGTCTCAATTCTATTTGATTATAGCTTTTTTTTTTTTGAAATTATGATGATTAATTTTTTTTTTTACAATCATCTGTAGTAGGATATGATGGCTATAAAAAATCGAGATCCAATATTTAAAAAAAAATGTAATCAAGATTCAATTTGAATTAAGCTCCCGTGGAGAATCAGTAAATGGCAAAAAAATGAGATGATTGACACTAACACTAGATTGCTAGAATTTGGTTTGATGGAGTTTAAATTGGCATGTTCCATGTTTGAACGGTGTGATTTATGATAAGGTGGTGGGTATTGTAGAGTTGATACTGAATGTTTGGTGAAAGATTCGCTATAGAAAAAAAATCTAAGTTGATTAAAACAGATGAAATACCTGGGAGATACGGCAAAATGTTTTTTAAACTCTCGACCATTTTTAGGGGCTGTTTTGACAGGATTTAAGCGACTTAATTTACATCTTACAAAGCAGATTGTTAAGATATTAAATTCTATTTTAATCTCGATAAATTTTGTTTCATTTCCTGTTATTGGCTAGATTGAAAATGTATTAAACCCTAAATTTTTTATAGAGTTTATGGGTTTTAATGATTTTCTCACATAAAATCGTAAATATTAGAACAAATAATTAAAAATTCTATAAAAAATTCGTTAAATTTAGTATTTGTGATGCCAAGTCTAAAATCTCGTCCTCTTAATATTTAGGAAATATTAAGTTAAGTGAATTATTATCAAGTTTATTTTGCTCGTGCCAAATAGCCCTTTAATCTTAGTAATTTGACAGCTGCTTACCAGATCGGCCAACTCTCAGCGGTGGTAAGTGTAACTCGGAGGATAGTCATATTTATTTTTGGCAGTTTGTAAGATTTTACTGATCGCGGCCGCAGGCGCACATTCTTGTTCTTCCTACCCACTAGCCTTCGCAGAGCAAAGTCGAGGATAAGGATATAATCATATATAGCTACTCTCTGCCCTCCGTTTTCATCGCCCTTGCACGGAAGCATCAGCAATAATAGAGAGATACGGACGCCAAAGTAAAAGTGCCCTTCCGGCTTCCACTTCCCTTGAAGGTGAGCTCTCACCTCCTCCTCTTCTACTTTAAAGTAACTCTTTTGCTCGGCCTTCATTTTCTGTAATAAAGTTCTTCTTTGCCTTCTCTAAAAGTTCACTTTTTCAAAGTTCTTTTGGCTCTTTTGTCCCTCTTTGCTTACAGTTTTAGGGTGGGTGGGCAAATGTGTGCAAAAAGTTTCTCTTTTTTTTATATATGATGGAAATCATGGGATTACCTGTATTTCCCTATGATCACTTGAGTTATATAGGAAAAACGAGCATAGGGTGCGGCAAAGCAAAATTTTCCCTATTTTAGGTTTCGTTTACCAGTATTTGAGGATGGCAGGATGCTTGGAGGGTATGTACCATGCTATTGGTTTTCTTGTCTTAAATAGTTTGTAGGTCATTCTGTTTCATAATGTAGTTTTCAGAGGCTTTATGCAGATTTAAGGTAAAAAGCATTAAAAATCATTTTTGCTGTGTTGATCATCTTTTTAGTTTTCGGTTTGGTAAAGGCTATATAGAGATCTTGTTGATATTCATTTCTATCAATTTTTCTAGAAATTAAGTCGAACAATATGAGACAATTTCACTATCCATTTTCTTCAATTATGTTTTTTTTTTTAAAGTTTTATTCTTGTTTGGAATTGGTTAAGATGATTAGTTTTAACTCGCTTAATTCTGATGCTATTTTTAATTCGTAAGTACCAATATTGACAACAACGCCTGCTTATTCTAGGATCTATTCAAGCATTCTTTTTATTGATTTATTTATAATGAAAGTTTCTTGAAGAGATGGTCTCTCAATCTGTAGGCTTTTCTCTTTTCATCTTTGATTTCCGCTCCTATTGAAGATTTGTAAATAGGTTGGAAAATGTTAGTACATTTATTTGGATGATTGTTTTAGCCTTGCCCTGTACTAGATAGTACTGCAAGCTTAGTGTGAAATAAGTTGATATACGTATGAACTGATTTAACTACTAAATACTTATTATTTTGGTTTTTCCCTATTGTGGTGTATAAAATTTGACAATGTGATGCATGATTGCCATATTGGTAGTAACAATGTAATTGTAGACTTTGAAACCTTATTCTGTAGGCTTTTAGTTTGATTTAGCATTCTTGAATACAAAGATTTAACTGGGGATTGCAATGTGGACCATATGCTTTGCAGTTGAATATCAGGTGCAAATCAAATTAAAACTCATGATAATGATAGGTTGCAGTTGTATTTAATTAGATGTGCAATCCATTGATATATTGAATGTATATGCAGGGAACCATAATAATATATATATATATATATATATACCTTCTGCATGTTTCTTGCAGCTAGGCATGCTTTTTGAAGTTGAGCTGGCGTATAATTGTAGCACCTTGCTCTGTTATGGTTTCAATAGGTTTCTTGCATTTTTTTTTTCACCATCGGTTTCCATATGGAAAGAGCAGTGTGCTTGTAGATTGTTTGAAACAAATCATCATCATCATCTTTATTAACCTTAGCTTCATTATTTGGGTTTGGCTTTAGCAAGCCTCATTTTCTTTTGTTCTTGTTTAGTGTTTTTAGGAGGTTAAACATATTATTCAGTAATCATTTTGAACAACTTCTATCTATATAACCTCATGTCTATCCCTTTTATTTCATAATCCTTTGACACTAATTTAATTAACTCTTCTAATGGGCGCATTGTTTATCCTTTGTTGTACATGTACAAATCATCTACATCTGTTTTTAGTCATATTATCTTTAATAATTATTTTTACTTTTCCATCATGCATAATTTTTGATAACATTACCATATATTTAATACATATTTTATTTTATTAAAGCACACCAAATTAACTCCCATAGTAGTTGATCATGTCTTCTCAAGACCAATAAAGATTGTATGAATATCTTTTGTATATTCTCTATATTTCTTCATTAATTTTCTTCACTTATCACTTCAATTGTGGATCTTTCTGCCATGAAAGCAAATTGGTCATCTAAAATTGATACAATTTTTATAAGACTATGCTCTATTATGTGCTCCTATATTTTCATTATACGACTCATTTGCTTTGGGGGAACATTCTAGCACTAGCAAAATTATAATTTTGATTTATTTCATTATCTTTGACACGAGTTTTAAACTTGGCTATCAACCTATTATCCACCCTCAAAGCCTCTTATATGGGCTAGGGATTGACAATGATGGTATTATAAAACTTGCCCCAAAAAAGAAGAAATTCATAAATAATATGTTGATGATGATGGTAATAGTAATAATATTCATAATAATAATAATATTCATAATAATAAATTTTTAAATAAATTGTAATGGTGACCACAAAAAAGGTAATAGCCAATGAATAAAGGGATGCCAACAATAACAATTGATTATATAGAGGGATCTACCAATCTTCAGAAGTAAAGTCTAAGACAACTTAAGTGCCACAAACAATCTTTAGCCTAACCACATCAAGAAAAGTAATGCCTGTAGCTGGATAACTTGACAATAATTGAAACAAAATGTCAGACTAAGGATGAGGGTGATGAGCTACCATGAGGCACAAAAGCTTAAACAATTGTGTGTAATTAATTGCTTGTACAATGAAGGTTAGGCATGAAGAATTTCTTAAGATGATTCAAAAGTTTTTTTTTTTCAATTACTTCTCTTCTTATGGTATATGATACAGTGAGAATGCCCTTCCCTACCTTCCTCACCTCTTTATTTCATTCTAGCCAAATGTTCTATGGTATTAGGGTTGTCATCTAGAATTAACGTGACACCTTAGTACCATGATATCAAATTTATTCAAAAATGATTTCACAAAATGCGGTGGAACTTTGATGCAAGCAAGGCATGCATATTTGGGCATTTACTTGTGGGCTGAAATTAGCTAAATGGGCTTGGCCCATGTTCCTTTGGATGTTTGGTGTTTGGAGCCTTGTGGCTGATTGGAGAAGTCTTTTTGAGCCTTTGCCTGTTTGGTTCCTGCTCCCTGCTTTCCCGGTTCCCCTTGATGGTTGTTCGGTTCCTGCACTTTATTGTCCCGATTCCCCTTGTTGGCTGTTCGGTTCCTGCTTTTGGCTGTCTCGGTTCCCTTGTTGTGGCTGTTCGGGTGGGGGTCCAAACGTGCCTTAAATGCTGCCTTTTGGTTGGTTGTATGGGCGGTTGAACATGGCTGTTGGACTCCCTTTTCTATTCTATTTATAGAGGAGTTTTGGGCTGTTCTAAAAGGAGGTTATGTGATTACTTTTGGAGTAGAAACCTGAGGGTTTTTTCTAGTTGCGAGCTAGCTTCTTTCCCCTTCCCCTCAATGAATTCTTCTTGAACTTCTAACTTATTTCTTCTCTCCACAAGTTACCATTCCATTGTATCTTTCTTCTCTAAAATATATAAAAGTTGTAAGGTGTCGTTGTGTCTTATTTTTATTTGAGTTTGTGTGTGTTTTAAGTATTTAGAAAGAAAGCGTATATTTGCAAAATTTAGTTTGCATCAAACTTATATAAGCTTCTAGGTATTTTCAAGAGGTTTATGAATATTGGTGTTATCCCATGAAATTAACTACAATTTATCTTCCCAAATGATGATCAGAAGATAGGAAAAAAAAAAGATTTACCATGAAATTTATCTTTAAACTCTGATTAGGTTTCTTGCTATTCAAATTTTCTTTTTTATAGCTTTTCAAGAGGATGTACCATGGAGTATGTTTTTTGCTGATGATATTCTTCTTGTAGATAAGACTAGAGAGGGAGATGTAGATATATTTGAACTATGTAGGTCAACCTTAGAGTTTAAAGGTTTTCGTTTGAGAAGTTCTAAAATCAAATACATTGAGTATAATTTTAGTAGTAATAGATCTAGTGGATGGACTGTGACTTTGGACGATCATGTCATTAATAATAGTACACATTTTAAATATCTTGGGTCAATTGTTCAAAGTGATGGTGAAATAGATGGGGATATTATTAGTAGAATTCAAGTTGGATGGTTAAAGTGGAGGAATTCATTGGGCCTGTTGTGTGATATAAAATTACCTCTCAAACTTAAGGGAAAATTCTATAAAATAGTGGTGAGACCTGCATGCTTTATGGCGCATAATGTTGGCCATTAAATGACAAGCATAAAATTAAGTTAAGTGTTGCAGAGATGAGGATGCTCGGGTGAATGAGTGACGTTACTCTTAGAGAGTATGACATAAGTATGTATGTGAAAACGTTGGAGTAACTCCATTGGTAGATAAGTTTATAGAGAGTTTCCTAAGATGGTTTGGTCACATAAAACTTCGGCCTATGTTAAGAAAGGTAGAGTTAGATCTGAAAATACTTGGTTAGAAAATATTATAAATAACATTTCTTTGTTAGATTTAAATGAAAAATTGACTCTTAACATAACACAATGTAGAAAAATGATTCATGTAGCCAACCCTATGTAGTAGGATAAAGACTTGATGATGTTGTTGTTGTAGCTTTTGCTCTATGTTTGGTTTTTGTTTTCCACCTTTGAAAACCAAATTCCAGAAAATAACTGTGAGATGATTCAATGTTCACAACTAAACTAAATGAGAACAAATACAGACATTGCTTCTTTCTTTAGATAACTTTAGTTGACGGCTAAAAGAGGAGCGGGAGGGTTGGCTGCCTTTATTTCTTGTTCTGGCCGATCCTGGGAACAAAATACAGAGGATAGTGGATAGAACGGTATGCAATCTTAGGTGTTTTTTCTCTTCAGCTTTATATCATTTAACATCTCATTTATCTAATATGGAATTCTCATCTTCCTTTATGTTATTGTCTTATGACTGATATCTCCAGTTCAAATGTTCAATTTCTTAATAAATCATTCTAAATGCCCTTGAATGTGGAAACTTTTTGTTTTTCAATTCGTTGCTTCATTCCTTTAAATTTTCTGACTTTGTGCCAAAACTTTCTGGGTTGTGCAGTCCAAAAAGGAATGTCCAGCTTCTAACATTTAAGTATTAGTTGCAAACACCAATCAGTAAATTGAGGATGTCTCCACTGATCCATTGTTCAATAGGAAATATCAATCTCTTTCCTGGAGCCACCTTCGTACAAACAAAGAGAATACAGCTTACCAAATATAATGCTTCACATAATCATGCAGAGCGGGTATTGTATAGCAGAGGATATTATTTTCCTCGATCATTACATCTGCCTCAGATATACAGAATTAGCTTCACACCTAGACATGGATTAAGAAGTCAAACAATATCAGCTGTTGGGACTGATGTAACAGTAGAAGATCCAAATCCTGCTGTTTCAGGAGAAGGCAATAATGTTGCAGATGGAGCTTCACCAAGTTCTGTTGAGACAAGCAAAACTGCCCCATCAAATCCTGCCATGACTCCCACTGCTAGAGTCAAACGTCCAAGATCTGTCAGAAAGAGTGAAATGCCCGCTGTGAAGGATGAAGAATTGATTCCAGGTGCTTCCTTTATCGGGAAAGTAAGGTCAATTCAACCCTTTGGTGCCTTTGTAGACTTTGGAGCATTCACAGATGGACTTGTTCATGTTTCGAGAATAAGCGATGAATATGTCAAAGATGTTGCAGCTGCTGTTTCCATTGGACAAGAGGTGAAAGTAAAGGTGGTGGAAGCCAATAAGGAAACTGGTAGAATATCTCTCACCATGCGAGATGGTGATAATACTGGTAAGACACAGCAGAGAAAGGAAACTCCTGCCAATGGAAGCAATGATAAGCCTAGATCTGTCAGGAAAAATGCTGTAAGGTCTAATCAGAAACGTGATGAGGGGCAAAAGAGTAGCAAACTTGTGAAGGGCCAAATTTTAGATGGCACAGTGAAAAATACAATCAGATCAGGTGCTTTTGTATCTCTACCAGATGGAGAGGAAGGTTTTCTACCAGTGTCTGAGGAATCTGAAGGGTTTGGAAACGTAATGGGTAACTCTTCTCTGCAAGTTGGTCAGGAAGTCAAGGTGCGGGTGTTGCGTATTTCAAGAGGACAGGCTACTCTAACAATGAAAAAGGAAGAAGATGTTGAATCTATAAATAGGCAGCTTAATCAAGGTGTAGTGCACGTGGCAACCAACCCTTTTGAGTTAGCTTTCCGTCAAAACGAGGACATTGCTGCATTTTTGGATGAGAGAGAAAGAACCCAGAAAAAAACTTCACTCTTGATTGAAGAAAAGGTCAATGAATCCACAAAAGTCAGCGAAGAAGGCTTGGTTGGTGTTTCTTCTAGTTCAGGTCTGGGGCTTAAGGTTGAAAAATCAACATCTGAAGTGCTTAATGACGAAGATTCTACTTCAGAGTCTATTCCAGATGAACAAATTAGTAGTGATATGGAACCTGCAAGTGAATCACCTCAGGATGCTATTTATATTCCGGAAACCTCAACCGGAGATGAGGATAATTCTGGAACCCCAACAGAATCATCCAGTCTAGTTTCTGACGGGCCCTCTGAAACAGACGTATTGGAAGATCCTATTGCCTCAGGTATTACTAAAGATGAAAGCATCGGTAGTACAACAAATTTGATTTCTGAAATTTCTTTTATTGCTGATGCTCCATCAAGTGATGAAGAAAGCCATACTGATGTTTCCGAAAAACTGGCCTCAGAAGATAAACTTGAAATGCCATCTACCGAAGTAAATGGGAATGGAGGATACTCAAATGCTGAAAATTCTGTGGCTGATAGCCTCCCTATAATTAATGAGGTTGAAGAAAGCAATATCTCTACCATTTCAGTTTCAGAAGGTGGGGAGAATTCTCAAAATTCTGATGCCATAAAAAATGGAATTAAAGAATTTATAACTTCTGGAAGTTCCATAATTGATGAATTGAAGAAAAACGAAGTCCATGACGTTCCTTTCTTACAAGATAAGGAAAGTTCTAACAACTTAACCATGGAAGAAAGTAAAAAAAAAGAAGCTTTAACTCTTGAAAGCTCCATTACTGATGAGTTCCCCGGAACGGATGATGATAAAGAAACTGATGCCACTGCTATAACTTTCTCAGAAGATATTGAAAGTGTTGGTAACCCAATTGCTAAAGAAAATGATGTGGAGCCTGCCAAATCTGAAGAATCTTCTAAAAAAGCTAGAGGTGAACTCTTGGTTTTAGAAGTTGCTAATGATGAAATTGCTAGCGGACATTCAGATGCCATCGTAATAAATGGTAAAATGGAAACAGAAGAGCCTCCTTTAATTGAGAATGAAATAGCCTCTTCTAACTTCAATATCAAAAAGATGGAGGCTTCGACTTTGGGAACATCTAAGATTTCAATCGGGCAATCTGGAAATCCTGAACAAGGATCTGTCAAAGGTCTGTAGCTAACTTTATTCTTGTCTATACCTGTGAGAAAATTTCTTCTTTGTTTGTGCTTTCAGTTTGACAAATAACTGAAATTTAATATTTCATGATATTTGAGAATCCAAAAGCTAACTTGCAGCACAAGGTCACCGAATGGGCATCTGAAATTTAATTGGCGTGCCGACCAAGCCTGTTAGTTTTTTAGAGATTAAATTCAATCGTTAATTTCTGGATAATTTGGAGTTAAAATTCCTAAGTTTTCTCTAAGCAAATCTTTATAAGTCTGAGAATGAATTCTTGGATATTCTCTTTATTTTGTTGCCAAAATTAATCTATCAAAATAATATAAAATTTTATTCCACTGATTTGCTAGTCCATCACCCCTAAATCCTTATAAAAACAATATCATAGTAACACATGTCTGCGATCCTTCACGGATTCTCGATCCAAGTACATATGAAAGCAAGGATTTATCCATGGATTTATCGTCATGGTTGTCATCGCTGAAGTGGCTGAAAACTAGTTAGGTGAAAGCTTCGTCATTGGTGTTGGCTCTGTCGAGGAGGCGTTGGCTGGTGGATAACAAAACAACTCTTGAAATCTTTCTTGGGAATTACCAGCCTTTGGTGAGTTTTGTTGACATTCAACCCCTAGTGATGAGGACATCGTCAGCATTTTTCGACGCCGGAGATCGAGCCTTTGGTGAGTTTTGTTGACATTCAACCCCTAGAGGCTGTAATTGATGAAGGTCGATGAGACTCAATGATGAGCTTGATGGTCAAAAACTTTCTCTATGGTTGATGCCAGGAATGTTGGTTGACGACCTTCTCTTTTCTTTTGCAGTTGCTTCATTGTTTTTTGCTTCTGGGGGGACTTTTCAACTGATTAAAGTTATGCATTCTTTTATTTATTAGAAATTGGAATGATAGCCATAAAGTTAAGAGTTAAAAAATTTTGATGTCTCAAAGAGCTTTGGGTTTTGCAAGACCAAGATGCATGAAATTCTTGTCCAACAAGATTTATTGGAAGCACTCATGGGGCCCTTGAAGATGCTTATACTGACGAGTGAAGAAGACTAGGTAAGGATGGATGAATAGGATCGTTTGGCAAATGAGATGTTGATATATGCCTTGGAGAAAACAATGACCGAAAATTTGAGGTTTAAGCAGAAATTTAGGGAGAGCCTTTAATGTTGCTTGATTTGGATTTAAATAATGGGAAATGTATATTTAAATCCAATTGAATTTTAAATTCAAATAGGAGTTAATTTAGGGGGCTTTCCAAAAATAGGTTTCATAATTTAGGAAAGTATTCAAATTCAAAGTAAATTTGAATTTGAATTAAAGAAGTTTCCTTTTCTAGGAAGACCCACTTGGAAAGGTTTGAACATAAGCCAAGAGGGGAAACCACAAGGGGGGCCGGCGGCTTGGATGGGCTTGCCGCCGGATTTTGGGTGAAAGGGGATGGGGTCGGGTGAGGTGGGGAGCTAGGGAGACTAGCCAAAGGTCAAGGGGAAGGGGTGGGCATGTGGATGAAGCCGGCGGGTTGTGTGGGGGATTAAGTGGCCGACAGTCTAGGGACTTGGAGAGACCTTAGGCCGGCGGCTAGATGATGAAGGGAAAGGAAAACTCGATAAAGAAGAAGAATCATGAACCCGACCGTCTCCAAGGTTGGTGGGTGATCCAAATTTTTTCTCCTATGGATCTCTCTCCAAGCACTCTCACAAAGAACTCAAGCAATGATAAAAATTTTTATCATTCAATCATTAAGCATCAAAAGAGAAACATAAGGGCTATAAATAGCCTGGTACAAAGGACTCAAAAAAAGTAAAAGACAACAATGCCCTCAGGACTTACATATAACCTCCCTTTAATAAAGGGTAAAAGTGGAAAATAACACAAAAAATACAAATATAAAATAAGAAAAGACAAATACTTAATATGACTCAAAAATACATCGACTCAATCGTGGCCGTAGATCGACGGCCACGTCTTTGATACACTTTCCACGCTCTGATGTCCCCATCAGATTGTGTATTGTAGATCAAGGGGTAATCATATAAGCAAGGGTACTCTTCTAATCACGGTAGGAGTTAGTTTTGTAGCAAATCAAGGAGGTTACCTGCTTTTAATTTAAAAATAAAGGACAAATAAGGAGGAATTTCTTAGCATTTAGCAAATCAAGAATATGCAGCTTTTGAATAAACTTCCTACACAACTCATGGTTGTAATATATGTTGAATCTTCACATGTTCTTTGTGGGAATCCTTTCGAACTGAGCTGCATCTCCGTTCTTACAAGAAATTGAATAATGTGGCATATGGATAGTGTTCAATTTCTTGTTGAGGGCCTTGTTACACTAGAGACTGTGTTCAGTTGAAATGTCCTCACGCCAATATTGCTTTTTTTTCTTATTTGTTTTATTGATGAATGAAATGCAGCAACAATCTCCCCATCTGTTGTGAAGCAATTGCGGGAAGAAACTGGAGCTGGTATGATGGATTGCAAGAAAGCTCTTGCAGAAACAGATGGTGACTTTGTTGAAGCTCTGAACTTTCTCAGGAAAAAAGGATTAGCTAGTGCGGATAAGAAGGCCAGCAGAGCTACTGCAGAAGGAAGAATAGGATCTTATATCCATGATAACCGAATTGGAGTCCTCATAGAAGTCAATTGTGAAACAGATTTTGTCTCTCGAGGGGAGATCTTTCAGCAGCTAGTTGATGACCTGGCAATGCAAGTTGCCGCTTGTCCTCAAGTTCGTTACTTGGTCCCTGAAGATGTTCCGGATGAAATTGTGAACAAGGAAAGGGAAATAGAAATGCAGAAAGAAGACCTGCTGACGAAGCCAGAGCAGATAAGATCCAAAATTGTGGATGGTCGTATCAAAAAGAGGCTTGCAGAATTTGCATTGCTGGAGCAGCCTTATATTAAGAATGATAAAATAGTTGTCAAGGATTGGGTGAAGCAGACAATTGCCACGGTTGGAGAAAATATCAAAGTGAAAAGGTTTTTTCGATATAATCTTGGTGAAGGCTTGGAAAAGAAGAGTCAGGATTTTGCTGCTGAAGTTGCTGCCCAAACAACAGCAAAACCTTCACCATCATTACCAAAAGATCAGTCTGCTGAAGCAAAGGAAACTGTTGAAAAGTAAGTTGATAGTTCATATTGATATTATTTTTAATCACCAACTTCATAAATGCACTTAAATTTTTGCATTGAACCACTAGAATCATAATAAGCAATTAATTTGGCATTTTTATCAAATCTGCATCCACATGTATCCAATCATCTAGGATAGAATTTTAGATTTCAGAACTTGATTGTGTAGTTTACAATCAATCTGAGATGATTAGATGCCTGTTGACATTTATGTTGCTTAAATCTAATATCTCAGACCACCTGCTGCTGCCATCTCGGCAGCACTGGTCAAGCAACTCCGCGAGGAAACTGGTGCTGGCATGATGGACTGTAAGAAAGCTCTTTTAGAAAGCGACGGCAACCTTGAGAAGGCTCAGGAGTACCTTCGCAAAAAAGGTCTCTCCTCCGCCGACAAGAAATCTTCCAGAGTGGCTGCCGAGGGTCGAATCTCCTCCTATATCCACGACTCTCGCATTGGTTGCTTGATTGAAGTTAACAGCGAGACTGACTTTGTCGGCCGCAATGAGAAATTCATTGAGCTGGTCGATGACCTGGCGATGCAGGTGGTTGCATGTCCACAGGTAGAGTTTGTTTCAGTAGAGGATGTACCTGAGAGCATTGTGAACAAGGAGAAAGAAATAGAGATGCAAAGAGAAGATTTGCTGTCTAAACCTGAGAACATAAGGGAGAGGATTGTTGAAGGAAGGATATCAAAGAGGTTAGGAGAGCTTGCTCTCCTGGAACAACCATTTATCAAGGTTGACAGTTTGCTGGTGAAGGATTTAGTGAAGCAGACGGTAGCTGCTCTTGGTGAAAATATCAAAGTTAGGAGGTTCATTCGATATACTCTTGGAGAGACTCAGGACTGAGAAAGAGGGAAAGACGTGCCACATTTTTATTTTTAGTTTTTGTGAAGGAAAAGCAGTTTTTGTAACTAGTCGATCTGTAATGGAGAATGGTGTATTTTTTAGATTCAGGTAATTTGTTGATGAGGTTGTAAGTTTTCACTTGTTCTTAATCAGCCCAACGATTTTTTTGGTGAATGGAATAGGGACATCTGTTGTTCGTGTGGTTGTATTATATTAAAGATTCGACATGTAATAACAATTTTTTTGAAGTGCTACAAAAGTATTTTTTTTTTTTTCAAAACATTTCTGTAAGCAACCTTTTTCTGCCATGAAAGTAATCTGGCAAAAAGGGGAAAATTTAAAGTGAAAAATGAACCCACAAATATCCATAGATTCCAATGAAAAGTCTTCAATTCATACAATCCACAAATGTATGTATGAGTATAGGATTGATGTAGCAACTTCTCAATTTGAGGAATTCAAGCATCTTATATGATCCCCGAGAGGTGAAGTAACGGGTTGACTAAAAAATTGCTTTAAAAAATTGTAAAAAAGCTGTCTCAAATGAATCCTTAAAAGTTCTCAGAGATTCCAAATAGAATAGATAAATGACATGGAGCTCTCCACTAACCAAATGAAATTGCATTAATATCTAGCAAAAAGAGCTCGAATATAAATTTTATCTGGGTGAGTTTAAAAATTATTGAATTTACTTTAAAATTTGTGTGATTGTTATGGGAAAAATATAACATATGTATATGAGTGATAGGGTTGTAAATTATTTGGTTAAAATCAAATATTGAGTAAGAACAAATTTTTGGAAAATATTAATTCCTATATTGTTTTAACTTCTCAAGATGTTTCGATTATCATATTTTATTTGATTTTCATTTTAAAAAATCAATAAAACTAGAATCGGAATATCCACATTCCACTCTCCTTATTTATTATTTAATTTTACTCATAATATATAAATAATTAAAAATGTATAGTTCAATTCTCCAAGAGGTGAACAACAACAAAAAATCCATAAAGCCTCCATTGGAAGATTCGCAGATCGCAAGCCAGTAAGCCGACAATAAGATTTGATAGATTATTCTGTGTGGGCCTGACACCGTTTGTAGGCCAATCAAAACGTGCCATATCACTTTTTTATTCGGTACTGGTGCTGGGTACCGTTGGATATCGGGTAAGTGGTGTGTTATGGTTGGTCTCCGGACGACGTCACATCTGCACAAAATAGTTTCTCCCAAGACTAAGGGAATAAATAGAGAACTCACATGGCACATATAAATTCCTAATGACTAATGTAAATCTGGGCTTAATATTCATCTTACAGCTGAAAACTACCAATTGTGGAAGTCTCAAATCCTCAAATTATTCACTGCAAACGGATTTGAGGGTATCTTGATGGCTCAACTCCAAAACCACCTAAACTTCTTTCCTCTGCTATCGAAATTACTTCTAACCCTGACTACTATATACATGGTTGCTTATCGATCAAAACCTTACAGTTGTTTTATATTCAACAATTTCTCCTACATTCTTTTCTTATGCCTTGAACCTTGATTCCTGCTATCAAATTTGGCAGACTATTGAGCGTCGTCTACAGTTGAGAATCATTCTTGAATTCTTCAGCTAAAGAACGAATTGCATCATATATCTATGAAAGATAAAACTATGATGCAATATCTATCCAATATTAAGAGCAAGGTTGATGCTATTGGATCCTTCAACTCGCCATTACCACCCGACGATATTATTCTATATACTCTAAATGGTTTGTCTAGCTCTTATCTGACATTTAAAACTCCATTAGAACCAATCTAAATCCTTTTAGTTTGAACGATTTCTATGCTCTTTTTTGTAGCGAAGAGCTCAATTTAGCAGTTGAATCGGTCGTGAACTTTCAGTTTCATCAGAACCTATACAGGCATTTGTTGTTCAACATGGTAGAGCTCGCGACCATTCTTTTTGCGATCGTTTTTCTTCATGTCCTCCTCGCGGACGAAATAGTTTTAATTGCGGTTATGCTTTTGCTGTTTCATCCACGGAATGCCAAATTTATGGCAAGCTAGGACACTCTGAGTTTAAGTGCTGGTATCATGGATTTTTCATATCAGCCACCGCTTCAGCCTTCTTAGCAGATCTCGCTTCGTCTTCTTCCAACTGATTGCTTAACACGGGCGCTACCTCATATCTCACTACCGATTCAAATCAAATCTACAATGCACAACCCTACAAAGGATCTCAACAAGTCATGATTGGCAATGGAGAGTTCTTACCAATTACTCATACTGGTAATGGTTTATTACCAACTCCCAACTGCAAGCTTCAACTCTCTTCTCTTCTTCTTGTTCCTAACTTAACCCAAAATCTGATTTCTGTCAATCGTCTCACCGTTGATAACGCTTGATCTATGATTTTTTATTCACGTGGCTACCATATATAGGATCTGATGATCTACCAAACTCTCCGCTATGGTCCATCTCGTCAAAGACTCTACCCAATCCATACTGATCTAGCTCGCCGTCCATTCCTCTCTGCCTTTTAAGCAACAAACTCTGACACTCAGCTATAACATTGTCATCTTGGTCATCCATCTCATCTTGTTCTTCTCCAATTACTGAAACACACTGGCTCTGTCTATGTCTACTAGTTATCATTGTAACATTTGTGCTGTTTCTAAGAGTCACAAGCTACCTTTTTCTTCTTCTTCTTCTTCTAGATAGACTCATGTTTTAGAAATGATACATAGTGATGTATGGGGTCCTTCCCCCATTTTATCTTTACATGGTTTTAAATGCTATGTATTATTTGTTGATGATTTCTCTCATTTTTCTTAGGTTTATTCTTTAAAAGCTAAATATGATGTTTCTCATATTTTTTATCAATTTAAACTATTGGTTGAAAAAGAATTCAATAAAAATACTAAATGCTTGCGGTCAGATGGTGGTGGTGAATAATGTTCCAAATCTTTTCAATCCTTCATTTCTCAATGCGGTATTGTTTATCAGATTAGTTGCTCGTATACTCCAGAACAAAATGGTGTTGTGATAGGAAATACTTAAGTTCGCAAGTAACCCTAAGGGAATACTTGAGTTCGCAAACAAACCTATTACTAATTGGAGGAAAACAACGAGAAATAGGCAAAATTTGGGCGAAATCAGCCCTCAACGATAGATTGCACTAAGAAAAACAGAGCCAAACAAGCATGAAAGCAAGATACAATTGATCCTCAAATCGAGAGGAGGATCGTTCTCTCCCAAACTCTAGACAAGATGCCTAGAGCCCAAAACGCCAAAGAAAAACTAAGAGAAGAACAAACAAAGCATGAAAAACTAACCCTAGACCAATCTCCCTCTCATAATACCATTAGTTTCCTAATACCACCCTAATTCAAATATCTCTCATTTAAAATTTCCCTCTCTCCCTTAGCCGCCCACTCCTCTTTCCCCAATTTCTCTTTTGCGGGCCCCACCTCTGGCGGAATGAAAGGGGGTATAACCCCTTGTTTCGCCTCCTGTAGTATTGAGCCGGCCTTTGGGCCGGCTCCTAGACCGGTTCAAGATGAGCTGGTCTATCATGTTGTTGAGTGCAAACATCATCACATACTTGAAAAAATCGGTACCCTACTTCTAGAAGCAAAGCTGCCTCATCATTTTTGGGTACATGCTGTTCTAATAGCAGTCTATTTGATAAATAGACTTTCACCTCTATCTAAATAATTCTCCTCTCCGTTTAAACTACTTTATCACAAAGATCCTGATTATTCCTTTCTCAAAGCATTTGGATGTCTTTGCTATCCGTTCCTTCCTCCTATTTCTCTAAGAAAGTTTCATTCTAAATATTTTCCATTTGTTTTCATTGGGTATGCATCTAACACAAAAGGATACCAATTCTTTCACATTGATTCAGAAAAAATCTTCACCTCTCGTCATGTCAAATTTCTTGAAGATATTTTTCCTTTTTCACAAAATTCCTCCCTACCTCCTTCCACTTCCCAACGATCAACTTCTTCCTTCTACACTCCAACATCACTTTTGGTTCCAATATTTACACAACAATTGTCTTCACCTATAGCTTCACTACCCGTCCAGACGTCTCCCTTACCTCCTCCACAAGATAATGCCAACATTCCTACCACACCTACTTCTCCTTCAACTACTTCACAAACTTTTGTTTCATCTTCCATTTCATCAATTATATCAGCTACACCTCAACCCCAATCAATTCAGCCAATGGTTACTAGTCTTCGGACTGGGACACTTAAACCCAAGCATATTATCAGTATGAACTTATCCATTGTTCCTTCAGATCTGACATGCTATACATAAGCAATCAAACACTTCATGTGGTGTCAAGCAATGTCCAGCGAGTTTGCTGCCCTTCAACAACAAGACACTTGGAAATTGGTTCCACCTTGCCCAGCCCAAAATGTTTTGGGCTGCAAATGGATTTGTAAACTAAACTAAACTCCGATGGTCTATTGCAAGACATAAGGCACGCTTAGTCGCACAAGGTTGCAATCAACAATATAGTTTGGATTACCTTCAAACCTTTAGTCAAGTGGCTAAACTTCCAATTATACGCATTCTAGTTGTCGTTGCTAGTACATTTAAATAGAAAGTTCTTCAACTTGATGTATTGAATGCTTTTCTTCATGACAATCTTTCTGATACAGTCTACATGTCTCAACCCATGAATTCAAAGATTCCTTACATTCCAACTATGCTTGCTTGTTACAAAAGTCTATTTATGGTTTAAAACAATCACTAAGACAATGGTTTGAGACGGGTTTCCACATATCTTGTTCACTATGGGTTCGTTCATAGTACAACAGACCCATTTTTACTGATTTATAACAAGAATTTGGTAGCACTCTACATTCTAGTTTATGTAGATAACATTCTACTCACAGACAAAGATGAACCTACAATTCAGCATCTTCTCTCGGCTCTTTATCACATATTTCATATGAAAAATCTTGGCAGCATTTCTTATTTTCATGGGATTCAAGTGTTACATACTCAAACTGGTTTTCATCTCTCACAATCCAAATATGCAACTGATTTACTTCAAAAGGATGGTATAGCTGATTGTAAACCAATATCTACTCCCATTGCTTTCAAATCAGCATCTATTGCATCTCAACTCCTCTTACCTGCTCAAGCTGATTAATTCGAGCATATTGTTAGAATATTGTTGGTTCTCTTCAATATTTATTACTCACACGTCCGGACATTGATTACACAATTAACATATTATGTCAATATATGCATCAACCTACGGAAGATGATTTCAAGCTTCTTAAGATACTTCTTCGTTATATCAAAGGTGCACTTTCCTTTGGTTTACCAATTACTGCAGTTGATCTTCGTTTATATGCATACTTAGATTCCGATTGGGCTGGTGATCCCATAGATAAAAAATCTACAAGTGGCTATTGTGCTTTCATAGGAAGCACCCTTATTTCTTGCCAAGTCAAGAAACAAAAAACAGTTGCAAGTTCCTCCACCGAAGCTGAATATTGAGCTCTTGCAATGGATGCTGTTGATATTATTTGGCTTAGAAGGCTATTGAAAGAATTCCAAATCGATTCTTCACCTCCCAAGACCTTGTTTTGTGACAATGTTTCTTCAATTGCTCTTGCCAACAATCCAATTTTTCATGTCAGAACCAAACATATTGAAATAGATTTTCATTTAGTTCGCGAATGCATCAAGAACAATTTATTGCAAGTGTCTCATGTTCATACTACAGATCAGTTGGCTCATTTATTTATCGAAGTATTGTCTCTTCAACGTTTCCAAGATCTCCACAGCAAGCTCACCATTTTGGAACAAAATACTAGCTCGAGGGGAGGTGATAAGCAAGCCAACATATCAACTTCGACTTATGCTCCCACTACACCTGTACAGCTGAACATTTTCTATGCTTTTACATCATGACCATCCATCTCTAACTAACTCAATCAATACCGTATAAGTCTCTTTCTTTACTTTATTATATACCAATGTAAAAGCTACAGTAGCGGGATGATGGAATGAGATATACAATCTTCTGCTTCAACTCTTCTCCTCTCTGCTTTCCTGCTTGCGTTGTCTTCCTTGTTTCAGGTGTGCAACATTGAAGATGAAGTGAGAGATGCAGTTCTTCAGTGATTTGGGCTATTTCATCAGAAGTATAATGTGTTAAATATCTGTACACGTTTTACACGAAAATTCTTTCTTCACCATGAATTGGATGAACTACATATGTTTATTCATGTTGTAGGAAGCTTTATTTATTAAATTTAGAGTTGTTATGAATTTGAACATACGTGATCAATAGAAGTTTCTCCGCGATGTCGATGAAAATTTTGTTTATCCAGAATCACATGAGTACAAAGTCGAAGAAGAAGTTGAAATATTTGGAAGCATGGATGAGTTTGTAGACTTGCTTGATAGTAAAGGTGTGGACGAAATGGCTGAAGGTAGAGATAATATTGCAATGCATGTATGCAGTTTTGATAGGTACTACATTTAACTACAAATTTAGTTAAATTTGAATCATAAGTAATTGTTAGTAATTATAAAGAAACATAATACTAAATGAATAATATGTTGATTATAATATATTCTTGTTATATTTCAGCTTTTATGATGAAAATCGAGGATTATCGAGTAATAACCTTGATTTGGGACTAAAAATCTGTAAGGTCCACACAGCAAAGTCCCAAATCAAGGTAAACCTTTTTTTTTAATCAAAATTTCACGTAGTAGAAAAAGATTTGATGATATTGTTATTGATCTCTCGAATACTTCGATCTCTTTACAAAGTATTTAATTTTTTTTTCTTATTTGCTAGTAAAGACAAACATCATATCCTACTTGTTTTATTTATTTTTTATTTCCAAATTCATTCATATGTATTAAAATTCGACTGAATAGATGGAACTAAACAACTGTTAGATAATTTGATTTATTTTATTTTAATTCAAAATTAATTGGTTCGGATACAAATCGTTCAAATCAATCAAATGCGTACCCCTGATTAATAATTTGAACCGTTGATTAATGTACCCCCTAATAAGTAATTTGTATTAAACTAATTTCAATCATTTTTAACCTCATCCCGTCGACTCCGGTCCGGTCCGGTCCGGTCGGAAGAAGAAGTGTCACATCGTTCTATAAAATGACTAGCAACCCCGTCTTTAGACTTCGAATCAAATCCCTAACCCTAAGGAGCCTCCTTTTTGAGTTGAAGAGGTTTTCCCATCTAGGGTTCTTTCAGGTTGCCGTGTGAATCACAGGCGTTTGGGATCACACTCTTCGTCCACCAGGAATTATTCATCTAAGTCATTTTTTGCTTCGTTTTCTGAATAATTTTCTCGTCATTCCACTTTTTGTTCTTTTTAGCATCCTGTCATTGATCCAGAAATCTGAGTTACTGAACGTAGCTAAAGTACAAATCTTCGGAGCTTCGAGTTTTTTTTTTCACCGTTTTGTGATTTTTTTTTTCTGCACTGTTAGAATTCAGATGTTTCAAATTATACTTAGCATTGCTCTTACGAATTCCCTACAAATTAAGGCCTTATATGAAGAAGCTTGAATGGAAGGATGTTTGGTTCCTAATTATTGATTTGGTTTCTGATATTTACCTGCTTAAAGACGTTGCTCCTGCTAGTTTAATTTACAGTTTCGTAGAAGTAGTTAGCTAGGTTCTAGGTTTTTTATTTTTTCTGTTTCTTTCGGAATAAAGTTCTTCAGTAAAAATGCAGGTGATGAGAAACTAGACAGGGACATCAGCACTCATAGCTACAGTTATTGAGCATGATGACTCGTTCTATTGGGAATCTCTCTGATGCATGATTCTACTTCAGGCACCACATTTTTGTGGCCAAGTTTTATATTGCTGTTCTGCTGCTTATATTTGTTGGCGAATCTTTATAAACAATGTTCTAATGTTCCTATGTGAGTGGTTTTATCCCAACTAGCTGGGTAGGCATTATGAGCCTGTAGTCTCTATTCATCCCGGTTGAATAATCCATGAGGTCAAAACTTTTTTGCTCAAATGTTTTTGTGCACAAACTTCTATGCAAGTTACAGTAGTTCTTTAGCTCTCTTTTTCATAGTCCTTCCATTTTAATTTTATCCATCATCCTTAGTAGTGCGTCTTCTACATAATGTTTTAAATGCACAAGCCAATTTAGTCAATGCTTGCTAGTTTGATACATCAGATGTGCACATCTGCCTTTAATTTAACAATTCATTAATCTATTGTTCATATTTTTGTTGCACATCTACATGAACATTCTTATATTTATCAAGCTTAAGTGTTTATTAATATTGTTTTATTGCCTAACCATCATATCCTTACAACATATGTGGAGTAATTCTTCTATGATAATATTTACCTTATAGTTTTCATGTTATTATCCTATCATGTACTTTATTTGAGACTTTTTATAGTTATAACTTTATCTCAATTTTTCTCTTTATTTTGATGGTAATATACTTAAACCTATTACATTTAAGTAGCACTTATTCATTTTATATTTAATTATTTGGTTGTCATCATTCCCACTATAATATGCTCACCTTTTGTACTACCAATTCAAAGTTAGTCATCTTTTAAACAATTTATTCATTATTTTAACCTTCACATATTCCAACATATGCCTCATTGAGTTAAGTCATGCTATAAATAGAGCGAAGGGATATATCAAGTTACTTCACATTGAAATTCTTTCTTAAGCATCTACATTAATAATGCGAAGGGTTACATGTAATATTTATCCTTATGTAAATCCATTTAGCAAAAATTAATGTATTACTCCATAAGTGGTTATAATATTTTAATCAATGCTTCATCATACATATTCCTAATAATTGCATTTATTCAGCATACTTTTGAAAGTCATTCCTTCTTGATTGTATATATATATCTTGAATGTCAATATAAATCATATGAGCATTTTATTGCTTCTATGTTGTTTTGATTGATTAACTTAGCTAAAAAATTTAATCTATAATGCATCGTAGTGTCATAAAATCTAATTAGTTCTCTTTTATTGGTGCATTTTATATAAGTCTTTTTATTATTAACCTCTTATGACTTCATTGTTTGATAAGTTAGTTTTTTTTTTAATTGTTATACTCTCAAACATTTCATGCGTTCTTGAATACTAATGTTGATAATTTTTTTTTATCATTTGATATTTTAGGGTTTAGGATTTAGGTAGCACTAAAAAATGCAAGGTATTTTGAACTTCCATTTACATATAAGAACCAACCCAATTCTTTATTGTTTTGATTCTCTTAAAAAATAATTAATTAGTAATTTAAGTTTTCAACCTATAGATCAAGGCATTCTTCTTAATTTTGAGAATAATAATTATGATTATAATTTATCTTTTTATTTATTGTTGATTAGGTTTAGATAAAGTATGATGCAATTATTTTTATGCACTTTTTTTTTATTCTTAAAAAAAAAATAACAAATTGGGAATAAAGTGAGAACTATTTGATTATTACTTGATAATTTATTTATATTTTTAAAATTACGGGTATTAATTAAAAGACAATTATGATAATGTATAATTAATTTTAAAAATTTAAATTATTTTTTTGCAGATCATTCACTTGTTCTGTTCGAAAGTAACTAAACTTAGCGTTTTGACTGTTAACGAAAGAAGAAAAAATTGAATTTTTAAAATTAATTATATTTTATCGTAGTTGTCTTTCATTCTATACTCGTAATTTTAGAAATATATATCAATTATTAAATAATAGCCAAATAACTTCCGTTTTACTCTTAATTTGTTGTTTTTTATTTTTTAAGAACAATCAAAATAACAAGTACATAAAATTAATTGCATCATAATTTGTTTAAATCTGGTCAACAATAAGTAAAAAGATAAATTATGATCATAATTATTTTTTTTCAAAATTAAGAAGAATGTCTTGATCTATAGCTTAAAAATTTAAGCTATCAATTAATTATTTTTTAAGAAGAATCAAGCAACAAGGAATTGGGACCGGTTTAGTCCATTTTTTTTACTATGAGATTGAGCTGGAATTTAAATAGATATGTTAGATCATGAAAGGATTTGGTCCATTTTGAACTTCCATTGACTTATAATTTTTGCACACTCCAAGCTTGCTTTGTGAATCATCTTCTTGTCAATGATCTTTATCATCTCAATGGTTGGCATATATCGATAAACTTATAAAAGATACTTTCTAAATCATTAGATGACATCACACAAGATCTATTATCATCAAATTACGAACATGCCATATGTAGATCAACACTACTTATACGTATTAATTGTAGTCTTATTGTTGATTTTGTAGCAAGTGAAGGAATCAACTCCCCATGTTATGAATGCTATAGGCGAGCCTCATTGAGTAGAATGCGTTCAAGTCAAATTATTAGTTTCTTTTGGTTTTGTACTTTAGTGAGTTATATTGGCCAATAAATTATAAATTTTTAGGAGTCGTATAGCTGAGTTATTACTTATTAATCATTATATGAATTTCCAATTTAAAAGATTTAAGAGACTATTGAGTTAGAAAATTCTGATTTGTTAGTGCCTCAAGTTTGTTCAAAAACTAGTGGCTTTGTAGACTAATACACATCAAATGCAAGGCCTCTTGGTTGGAAGTAGAAGCTCCAAACCTATGAGCTAAGGTGGGTTGGATAACACTAGAAAAGTTTAAATTTGGATTGTTTTTGTGATACTTAGTTTAAGTTTTATGATTGGCTGTCTAATTAAAATCAACCCTAAATTTTTTAATCCGGAAAATTTTTGGCTTTCATCGAGGATTTTGAATTAAAATTTTTAACACATTTCTTCATATCTGAAGCCTTAACCCTCTCAAATAGATGCCCTCTTTCGGTATTCCTATTCCATTGATTTTATGACAATTCTTCAAATTTCATGTCTATGCAGCTGAATGTTTTTAGCCTTTTAAAATGTCTGCTCTGCTAGATTCTTTCAAGTTTCTTATGATGTTTTTGATGTATGCTTTTATCTTAGAGTACATTGTTCTTTTTTCTATGGAGATTTGTAGCTGTTATGTTGCTGCCGATGATGTATAATTTGCACGTATTATCAGAGTTTGATGATGATTTTCAATTGTCACTACCACTGAGGCAGCCACTAGCGGTGCTACTTTTTTCTGTGTTCTTTGCCATATAGTTCTCAAATGTATCGTCTCTTTTTTCCTGAATCTTTTTTATTAGTCATAGATGACCTTTATGTTTATGTTTTTGGTGCAAGCTTAAGATATACTAATTGCTCATATTATTTGGATTTGCAAGTGATGACAACATAGACAGGGACATCTGCACTCTCATTGAGTTTGATGACAGTGTCTTGGGAATAATATTTATCTGATGCAATGCCTAAAGAAATTGTTGGATTTTATGCAGTTTTTAAAGTCCATTTTTTGGCAGTTTTGCTTAGTGTGAGTCTCTAATTGCAATTTTGTTATTCTTATTTTAGTTTGGAACTATGAACTGCATTTTGATTTGTTGTTGGGGTTCTAATAAACATGCATTTGTAGTGCGTTCTTGTGATGAATAACAATTAAAGGTAATTTTTTTGGGGCATTTTCTTACAGTTTTGCTTTCCAGGTTGTTGTCATTATTCTTTTGGTAACATTTTTCTTATTTGACTTTTAGAAATTTATTGGATGAAGTTTTTTTAACAAGCTCTATGACAGTTTGGCAGCTAAAAAAAGTTTTGTTTCTGTTTTTTTTTCAGAATTATAGTTTGTAATATTTGTAACAGTTTTTATAAAATTTAATATTTTAGTTCTGTTTAGCAATTATTTTTACAAACAGTACTGTTCAACAAAATTTGTTGCATTGAGCATCTCCACGAGTGCAATTTGTGGTAACTAGACAGTAGAACTAATAACGTTTGTGTTGAAATACAAATATATGGAGTAAAAGTTATTAGGTGGTAAACAAATGGTCAGTCAATATGTTTAGTAGATGATAAAGTTTCACTGTTGATGACATTTTTAGGGACAGTGATGCTTAGAATTATCTTGGAGAATGTTCTTTTGGACTTATTTAGATGCAGCGGGATTCAGAAAAATCCTGTAAATTCATATTCAGCAAAATTTTGTAGGCTGTAAATTCGATTTGTTTACTGTCTTCTTTTCATATGGAATTATGACATCAGAGCTTTACCGATTATATGATAGTTTTTAGATGAAAAACACCTTACAGTTTGATTCCTTGATCTTTTGCTGCTCTAAATGATGCTTTGCAAACCTAATGATTGCTTATAAGAACGGAGATCTGAACAGGTGATCTCTGTTGAAGCTTAGCTTGTCTGCTGAGCTCCAGAGTGATCCAATGTAGATTCAGTATTGACAGAAATGAAGGCTTGCAGCTCTAGCGTCCTTGTTACAAGCATGGGGCTTTTTAGATCAACTGTTTGAATTTTGTAAAACTCGTATTTGATGATGGTATGCTATTTTTATTGAAGTATTGTGAGTAAATTTTGTTTGAAATCAAATCTATAATCGAGTCTTAATTTTTTAAGTAATTTGAGTACGTTTAAATCAAATTCGAACCTAAGTTTACTATCACTAGTTAATATTAAAATTGTTGATCTGGAGAGGCTTGTTTTGAACTGTGATGCATGTAAAGAAGTTCATATTAGGTTAAATTTAATAGGTCCAAATGCGGCTCTTTTGAGATTGCATTTGAACCAAATTTGTTATTTGAACCAAATTTGTTCGTTATTAAATTTGACAAGCCGTTTGCTTTGTATAGTCAGCCTTACGACAAATTATTGCATCCGGTCACCGGACGCGGAAAATAAGTTTGAACATCCAATAAAAATTTGTCGCATCACCTGTAATTTTAATTGCGCTTTAGTTGCTTTTACCTGTGCTTTACTTGCGCTTTACATGTTCTTTTGACTGCTCTTTTACCTGCGCTTTAGTTGTGCTTTACTTGCGCTTTACCTGCATTTTATCTACGCTTAATTTAAAATAATATTTTATTAATATATGGACCTATCTCCCCATCAGGTGATCGGATGCAATAATTTGTCCAGCCTTACGGGGCATGTAGAAGTTTAATTTATTGTCTTAGCACTAGCTTGAGACCCAACAAAGCGATGAATCACCCAAATACACTAGGATCTGGTGTATTTTGATGATGTGGTGCATTTGGATTGGTGTCCGGACACTGGATGCAATAATTTGCCCAACAAAGCTCGCCTTTGCAATCAAGATCATCCTTCCCAATGGCCCTGCGACCTTCAATGACAAGTGCTTTGAGATCTAAATTTCGTGGGAATGATAAGTATTATAAATAATCAAATAAAAAAATTCAATGCATGAGAATTTGGATCATTATTATAAATGTTTATGTTTTGTTTTTGAATCTTCTTCAGCTTTCAATTAGTATTGTATATAATTTCTTTTCAAAATCTCATAGAATTTTAATCGTTTATACGGATTCAAGATGTTTTATCATATTTTACTGTTTTTATTTTATTCGGTATTCATCCATCTAAATATTTTATAGGTATTTAGAATGTATTAATATTAATTAAACTTTACTTTGTAGTTTGTACACAATCAAATAGAATATTTATGTCTCTTATATTTGTTTTACAGATAATCAAACAGTATCAAAATATTAATTTTATATTATATTTATTTCACTTAATATTATTTTTTTTTAGCAAATCAAATAACCTTTTTGAGCTAGAGGTTTTTTGTAACTGTGCATGACATCGGCCTACTGCCTATCTGGCTAAGCTGTGATTATGCAGGAAGAGCTCAAGGGATTGTTTATATTAAGGTGCTTGGCTACGTTTTTTCATTGGTTCTGGGGATTGTTTGGGACGGCTGTGAAGTTTGATAAAGTCGATTGTAAAATTATTGTGAAAAAAATAATTAAGTTAAATTAAGTTAGAATTATTCAAAAATTAAAGCAGCAGCTAGAAAGCATGGATAAAAATATAATTTATTGCAATTAAATATTTAAATATTTTATTTGTTAATAGATAAGAGTTTAGTGATATTTATGTCTTTATTTAAAAGCATGGATTAATATAATATTAATTACATGAAATATTTTGACAAAAATGAAAAACCCATATTTGCAAAATGGGCAAATTTAGTTGCAACAAAATAAAAATGTGTACCTTTTCTATTAGATAGGGTTGCTGCTCTACAAAACCCTAATCGCCCGAAGATGGGAAAAGGATTGCTTGATCTGGAGAAGCACTTCGCCTTCTACGGTGCGTACCACAGCAATTCCGTCAACGTTCTGATCCATGTCTTCTTCGTCTGGCCGATCTTCTTCAGCTCTTTGATCCTCTTCGATCTCACCCCTCCAATCCTCCATGTCCCTCTCCTCGGCGGTTTCGATCTTAATTTTTCCTTCTTCTTCGCCCTCTTCTACGCTGTTTTCTACATCTCCCTCGACAGATACGCCGGTTCTTTTGCCGCTCTCCTCTGCCTTCTTTGCTGGTTTGGAAGCAAATCTCTTGCAGCTCAGCTCGGATTTTCTCTTGCATGGAAGGTCAATCCCTCTTTTTTTTTCTCTATGCCTTTTATTTTGCATGTTCTAACTGATTGGAAACAGTTTTATTGCTTTGTTGACTCCAATGAACTCCCTTAATGAGCTGGAGTGTTAATTGATTTGAAAGAATTTTTTTCTTTTTGCTATTTGTTGTTTTGAGATTTATGAATTTATTCATCTGTTTTTTTAGAAGCCTAGATCTTGCGCAATAATTGTACGATAGCTTGGATGCATTCTGGACTATAATTCTGTGAAAGATAATTGAGGTGTAAAGACGATATGGTATGCCTGGCACATTTCGACGGGTGTACATAAATTTTTTTACACTTATCTCTTAGATGTACCACAAGCATGGCGCGGTGTTCTTTACCTTCATTTTTCACTTCTTGTATTTTTTCCTTGTTTTTTTCTAAGGGTGAAAATGAAAGCGCAATTAATATGATAATAATAAAAAAGTAAAAAAAAAATAACGTACTGTAGGGAAAAAAAAAAGAGCTAGCAACATAATTGCAATTTTATTCTTTATAGCTCAGATAAGACTGTAAAAAGATAGCAATCTCATGACTGGAAGCACTTGCCAAATACATAACTCATAAGAAGCCATCTATCTACAAAGGAGAAGGTACCAAACAGTTAGGTTGAGGAGAGCATATCATAGCCCGGAGGTGGCCTTATCATATAAATAATTTCAAATCTTTCCACAAAAGGATTGTCAATTCATCATAAATAAAAATCTTGAATCAGCTTTAATCATAAAAGGCGTCCCTCTAGAAAAACCATCAGAGGCTGATTATAAAATCATTATCGAGTATCCAGATAATGGTCCAATAAAGAAGCTGCATCATATAGGAAATAAGCATGAGAAAACAATCTATTTTTTAGAGTATCATTTCACAGAGATACTTTCTACAGAATAAGGCACCATAATAGACATTGAACTAAAGAGCCTTTGCCAGATGAAACTAGATCGAATGAATAATGTTGAAACTTGATAGATATCTTGTGTTACAAGTACAATTAGATTGAAATATACAATTTTTTATCCCTTCATTTTGCCAGTTCCTCTGCATTGTTTATGATCATATGATGTAAATTCAGACCTTGGATCAATGAATAATGTTAAGTATGAACCCATGTGAAGTATATTACCTAGTGCTGTTAAAAGTACACTTTGGGAGCGAAGTGATGCGGTAGCCTTGCGCATCACTCGCCTGTCAAGAGCAAGCTTGCAGTAAAGCACAAATGCCGCAGTGTTTTGTCATTTCATATTTTACATTATGTGTGTGACTTTTGTTCAGAGTGAACCAGACTTTTGCTCAAAGTAAAATCTTGGTTCAAATTATATGGTTCAATTTAACATTTGCTGCAATAACTAGGCGCTATTATTTGCTTTGCCTCATTTTTTCTCATCTTCATTGAGTCGGTCATTGGTTATCCATTCCCTCTCCTTAGAGTTAGTGGCTTTCGCTCACAAACGTCTACTCATTGATGCTTCTTAATGCATCATCTTGGTGCTCTCTCTTGCTTCGAATTGTCCTATGGATCTCTGGCTAGTTACTTAAATCTCATAAGTATATTCTTAATTTTTTAATATTATTACATTGATTCATTACTTATTTCATTCATATCTTTGATTTTTTTTCCTGACTTTCAAATAGTTGGAAGTTATTATTATTAATATATATTTATATTTATTTAAAAATCATTAACTAATTTGCTTTATTAAATAACTATTATATGCACATTTTATATATACAACTCATGACTGTTTTAGTTAATTAATGTGTTGTTTTGCTTTATGCTATGCGCATTGAAGTAAAAGGAACTTTTACGCATTGCATTGTAACATTTTGAAAACATTGATATTACCCATGCAGTACTCTCCAACATGATATCTTATTACCTGCTCTCCCAACACTTGGGGATGGGGGTTTCATTGTGTTTTAGATTAATCTTGCTTGCACTAAGAAAAAACATTAGAGCCTTTGAACTTGATCTTGTTTAAGCTTATTGACATTTGAACTATCTTTTCATATCATAAAAATCAGGAAAAGCTTTCTAAAACAAAGCCTTAAACTCAGCTAATCAGAGTTTTAACTAATGGTTACTAGTCCAATGCCATGCATATTTGTATTTCTAAGTTGGTAAGTATTAAATTTTTAAAAATCAGATTTTATAATCGCACTGCAGGTTGTTCTGGCTACTCAGCTGTTCTGTTGGACAGGACAATTCATAGGCCATGGGGTCTTTGAGGTAAAGCATCAGCATTCCTGAGTTCATTAGCAGAAATAGGACTAACTGTCAGATGTTTGAAACTCATAGATAGCAAAACTTTTATTTTTTTCTGCAGAAGCGAGCTCCAGCACTTCTTGACAACCTTTCTCAAGCTTTTCTAATGGCTCCATTTTTTGTCTTGCTTGAGGTATTATTTTTTATGCCCCCCCTTAATTTGCTCATATAGGATCTATAAAAACAAATAGCTCACATTCCTGTTGATTCAGCTGCTGCAGAGCCTATTTGGATATGAACCATATCCAGGTTTCCATGCAAATGTGTTGAAGAAGATTGAGGTAGATCGAGAAGAATGGCAGGCCAGGAAGCACAAGTAATCTTCTTTTAACATAGGAGCTCACTATAAAATCAGTTTCACCATCTGTTGTGGCTACTTTAATTTACCTATTTAGTGAACTATTACAGGTTTATTAATGTATGTCTTGGATGCTTATAGCCGAATGTTAGTTACTGTATGAGAATTACAGAATATTACTTCTTTTTTCTTCGGTTGTATAGCTACACTTTTTTTTTATATTATTAATTATTGATGTGTTATTTTTGAAGCTTGATGATGGAGCTATTTATTTGAATAAATTTTTATCTGATTTGATTATATTAGATTAACAACAAATGATAGAGCAGATTGTCAATGGATTATCACTTCATTGATGGAAACTAATGGTGAGAGCTAATATGATTTTATTTTTATTCATATTATGGCTGCAAATAGAATAAGGAATTTTTTTGGATATTTTAACTATTGAAATGACAAAACTTAAGTGGAAAATATTGTACAATACAATGATAGTCTAATTAAATTCCAGACATGATGATTCTCTATCATTAAATTTATTTTTTTAATATTGTTAGAAAAGTTTCTTTTATTTTATATAATATAAATTTATCTTTCTCATGTTCGAGCCCATAACTTCCCAAAAAGTTAAAAAAAAAGTATCAATGTTATGTAACTGGTATCATATAATGCTAATATAGAGAAATTGATACAATCATTAGTAAAAGGAACATGATTTAATTGTGGACCTCTGAAAGGGCACCGCTCGTTGAGTACGAACACAGAGGGTACGACAGCACTATCCTGTGGGATAACGATCGTAGGTCTCTATATTCGACTAACCATTAATGATAGAGGATGTTGCCAACACACCCCGATAGATAGTAATATACACGACCTAATCAAGGGTTTCTTCCACCTGATGCAAGAGTTCGAGTGGGGTTTAGTAGATGTGGGACCGAGTTTTCCACGGGCGCAAACTCCCGTGGTTAATTACATTCCAGGCAGGAGCCCAAGAAAACTCTCGATTAAAAATTATACATTATCCTTCCCAAAATTGGGATTGGCATAGGGGTATAGACTAAGAAGTCCTACTCAAAGGGAAGAAAGATCCCAAAAGGCTCAGTCAACATGCATGGCTCATACCTGCATTCGGAGGCTCTAGGGTACTAAAGAGAAACTGGAGAAAAAAAGACAAGCAATCAACCACATGCATGAGAGAAGAGATGGAAGTGGCGTCATTCTGTGACGCAGATAAGTAGGATTTATGGTCCCTTAAAAGAAGGGATCTACCTACTATTTAAGACATACTATGAGATCGAATGTAGTAGCCTCGAATCTTAAATTTAGGTTGGGCTTAGTGTTCTACGAAACACTAAGACCCGTGTCCTAGCTAATGCAGTGCAAAATTTGGACTTACCCCGGCCTGGATTGGGGAGCCAGTTAACCACCTAATCGCTTTAAAATTATGCTATCAAGTTAGTTATGAAAGATGAGTGGGTGGTATAGTTCTTTGAAAAAGGGACCGACATCTAGAGAATTTCTTAAGTTGTCCTAGACTTATGTGGGTCATATGCTTCTAGCTAATGCAATTAAATTTTATTTAGTTGGTTCTTATTGCAATGCATGCTAGTTGAAATGTCAGCTCATAAATGCTATAGAATTTTTTAAAAAAACAGGCTTATAAAAAATGAATTTTTAGAAAAGTTTGAGTCTCCCTATGTCCGGCACTTCATCCTCATAGGCCAGATTATCCGGATTTTACCCGCAGGCAGGGAGATGTCTTATAGCAAGGAAAAAAGAATGCAGTAATATGCATGCAACCCCGGACGGTTCCGGCAGTTCCCTAGGTTCGTTATGTTTCTATGTTATTTAAAATTTAAAATTTTAGGAGTTAGTTATGAGTAGAAAAATTTTATAGTCCTTAGAGAGAGAGCCTAACGGAATACAGGCGAAAATAAAAGCGGCATGCAAGAAAGAAACATAGAAAAAGTAGGTAATTCTACTGCGCAATCAGGTAAACACATCAATATAAATCCAGAATAATCAACTAAATGGTCATAGGCAAACTGCCTTTATTACAACTCAGATATGCAAAATGTAAAGTGGCGGGGCACCATTGCCAACAACCCGGATTTCTAAACCTATGACAGACGCAAATGACTTTGAGTGGGATATTGGTCTTCAATCTTCTAGGTGTCTTCTTCTCCTTGGACTCCTTGGATCCGTCGTGGCTTGAATATCCAAACGAAGAGACAAGTCTCCCCTTTGGGGATGATTGCCTTTTCTCTTTGGATATCTAAAGCCATGGGGGGGGCTGAGCAAGCACCTGCATAAGACAATATTAGAAAATATAATGGTGCCCCCTTTTATTAGCTTGAGCATGGCCACCTGCACGGAAGAACTATATATATATATATGGCGCTCCTAACCTAGGGGTAGATCTAGCGCTCTTCACATCATCCACAGGGTGCAGTAAAAGTAAGCAAACACACCAATCATTTTCAAACAGCATGCAATGAAAACCATGGAAAGCTCCGGCAAACAGCAGAAAAAATAAAACATAGCGGCCTAGCCTAGATCTAGAAGTGGTGCCCTAGCAAATAATTCTATGTGTGTGTAAAGCTGGTGTGGCTGAGATAGGTCCTAATTTGGGTAGTTAATTAGAATTGTCTAAAGTTGTAGTTTATGGAAGGCTAGAAAAGGAAATTTTACTTGAAATTCAAATATTAATGGATTAGGGTCCATTTTAGTTAATTTAATTTATTGATCACTTTTAAAAGCTTACGATAGTCATTTTTTAAGTTTAAATTGCATTAGTCAATTTTAGAAAGTCTCGGGTCCTCCTAGGTGCTAGGCCTCAGGGGTCCAAAAAGTCACTATGGGAAATAGGCTAAGTCTAGGTCTCCTAATATTTTAGAAAAATACTTGACCCTAAGATGCGTAGTTAGCCAGGTAGTGCACTGAAATTGGAGTTTTCTAGTCAAAGTTATGAATTTTCTAAGTTTCGGTCCCTAAATAAACTACAATTGATCAAAAAGTTGACTTTCTAATCTAGGTCATTTTCTGGAATCCTAAGATTTTTAATAAATACTAGACCCTAATAGGAGTCTAATGCAAGTGATTTTTCCTAATTTGGAATTTTCTACAATTAGTTATGGATTTTCTAAGTTCAGGGTATTTAAGAGAATTTCTAAATTTCCTAATAAATGACTGTTTTTATTGTTTTGCTCCAAATTAGCTCCAAACTGATTGGAATCACTCCTAAAGGTCAGGGATGACTTGAGAAAGTGATCCCAAATATTTGGGGAAAATTTGAGATTTTTAATAATTTGTTAGGGGCAAAACGGTAATTTCTACCTATGGTCAAATTAGTGGTCAACCTGAAGTCAAACTAGGAAGCCCTATTTATCTAAGTTCAAGGGTCAGATTCTGGTTAGTTCAAGCTATTATGGGTAATTTTCGGACCTAAAATGTATTTATTGTAATTTTTAGAAGGTCTTGGGGCCTTATTCAGCAGTTAATTAGGGTTAGTTAACTAAGTGGTCTAACAAGCCCTAAAAATTCCTAGAAAGTTCTGGGAGGTTTATGATGTCACTAAGTTTAATCTTTGAGGTTTTCATGTCAATCAGTGATCTACCCTAAGCCCCAGAAAATTTCTAAGTTCGCTAGACGATTTTTTATTTTTTGTCATTAGGGTGTCACTACATTATATGAGTTTAAATTGAAGTTTACACTAACCCTCGAGGTAATAATGCATGGGAAACATATAAAATGAGTAAATATACCATGTCCTTAGATCTAAGAGTGCCTAAACCAAGTGCTCGTGGTGCGAACTACTCATGCAATCTACGACGAACGAAAAGTAAGTACGAGTAATGAAGGGATTAGTGAATGATTGGAACCCAACCATCCAGTAATCCACTCTCCCATGATTGCTTTTCACATTTAGAATTTATGTCTAAAATTTCATGAAATAGCGGATCTCTCAAGATTAGGGGATTTAATTATAAGTAGTTTTAAAATAGTTTAAAAGTACTTATAAATATAAATATATTTTTAGAAAATAAAGTAATTAAAAAAAGTCAATTCATAATACATAAGTATAGGAAGACCCACTGACCACTCTCACGAGGTTTCAAAACGATTTGAAAATAATTTATAATTTCAAAATAATTATAATAATAAATATTTAAATAATAGGAAAAATACTCAAAATAGCAATCTAAGATAGAAATCTGTCCAGACATCAAGAATTAGGTTATGAAAATAATTTTAAAATAAAGTATGTATTTTTCTGAAAAGAACGAGGGGTTGCACGCTGAAATCTGATTTAAAATGGAAAATATATGATTTTTGGAAGTTTTAAATAATTAATATTATAATTAAAAGTAATAATATAATAATATTATAATAATAAAATAATTAAAATAGTATTTTTAAAGTAGTAATTTTTACTGTTTTTTAAATAATTGAATAAATATAAGCTATTTTTAAATAAAATTAATCTTAAAATAACGGGGATGAAATACGAACAAAATGAGGTATTGTGCGTCGAAAACGGATTAAAAAAGAATTTATTATGATTTTTCGAATAAAAACAGTTTAAAAAGTATTTAAAATAAAAGAAAATTCCAGAAATGCTCTCGGCGCGACACGTGGCGTCCTCCACTGATTGCGGCAATGATTGACACAATCAGTGCCACTTATCCACGTAGGCACACAGCAGGATCCGCTGTTTGGCCTAAACACAGAACATCGAGATCACAGCCGTTGATCTTTAGATCAACGGCTGCAATTTCGTACAGTTCAAAAGGAACGAGACGACACCCTAGAATGATTTTTTGCCTCGTTCTCCCAAAATAAGATGAAGAGCATTCATGGGGAAGAGCATTCATGGGGTGAAATTTGAAACATAGGCTCTATAGATGAAGAGCATTCATGGGGAAGTGTTTGTTTGACAAATAATCATCTTTTCAAAAAGTTATTTAACCCTATGTGTTGTGACATATTCTAAAAGTTTTTGAGAGATCTAAACGTCGGATTTTCGCGTTCTTGGGCTTGTTAGACTTGTAGAAGGTGCATGAGTATATCTCTAGTTGAGTTCGAGTCTTGAAACGCCTTGGATCAGACGGTATCTCCTTTGGAACGTCCCAAGCCTCGGGTGGCCGAAAATCTCACTGCCGGCAAGGTTTTGGCGGCGGGATTTGCTTGGGAAAGGTGGAGGGAGACCTCTAGAGCTCTCACCAGAAAGGTTTCGGGCTAAGAGACTCCAAGGGGAAAGATCCAAGCAAAAAAGTCCAAAAATAACCTAAAAATCTCATATTTAAAGCCCTAGATGCCTCTTAAACGGTTGGGGTTCAATCAAGATCGAATTAGGAGGAAAATTAATTCATGATAGTCGTAGTTTTGAATTTCAAAACGATTAGGAGGAGTTGAAAGCATTAAATGGCTCTTAATTCCTCTTAAAGAGGTGATTATTACATATTTAGAGCCATGGTTGACCAAGTCCACGTTTGACTTGGTCAAACCTGTTAAGGGGGGTCAAGGGAGAGGAGTTATTGGGCCACGCAAGGTTTGAATTGATTTGGATTTAAATTGGGCTCTTAATGGGCCTAATGGGTCAATTTTGACCCATTAGGACTTGGGTTGACCAAGTCAAAGGTTGACTTGGTCGACCCAGTCCACTATGCTTATGTCTGGTCAAAATCAAGGCCAACATTAATTAGTGTCAAATATAGCAATAATATAGGCCCATAAATTTTAGAAGGCTTTCCCATTCTTGCTGAGGGTGCTGAAAGTTAGAGATAAAGAGCATTATTTTTAATCTTATATCAAATAAATATTATAACATTATTTATAGCAATAGTTTATTATATTTAATTTATATAATATATTCTTTTATTATATAGAATATATATTATCTTTTCTTTACCGCTCTTTTCTCTTCCTATATATCTGTACATTTAATTTGCATCAATATATCACTTAAAATTTTTCTTCCTCCATATATTTTGATTTGATTCAATTTTAAAACATGCATTTCACTTCTCATCAATCGGCATTTTTTTTTCTTAGGCATCATTTCTTTGTAGATCTTCACACAATTTCAATTTAGAAAAAAGATCATCAATATTCTTTTATAACCACAAATTAATCACAATACACAAATTTTTTTCACAATATCATCCAAATTATCTCAGCACAGCACAAACACAAACATAAAAACGTCTAATTACTCCAAAGCTTAAGAAAATTCCACACTTCAATTAAAAAGCAAATCATCGTTGCCGTCGTAGAACGAGCTCGATGCTTCTGAACAAAAATTAAAAGCCCCACCTTCGTAGAGTGAGTCGGGGAAGCTGGTTACCTGGGCATTCATTAATGGCGGCAGAGGAACTCCCTGAGTCATCTCTTCTTCAATATTTGCCAGCCCAAAAGCTTTATTCTCTTTTCTCGGCAAGCCTTTCTCGAACACCCTGCATAGAACCCACTTGTTATGTTCGAAAGCAACTAAAATTAGCATTTTCATTACAAACGAAAGAAAAAACAAATTGAGTTTTTTTTTTTAATTAATTATACCTTATCTTAGCTGCCTTTCAATCTATACTCGTACATTACCCACTCCGTCCTCTCCTTTGGGAGCTCTGCCTTTGTAAAAGACTATTGTCTTTTTGATTCCAAGAAGTATATTTTCCCTTCGGATCTCCTTATCCTTGCCGGTAGATTTCCAGTATTCGACGTTAGTGGCCCTGTTTCTTCGAAGGCCAGTTGAATACTTTAGCCCTAGTTCACAAAATAAATAACATTCTTTGCTGCCGCCAATTTTGGACCTTTCTGAATTGAAACGAAATAATATTAATATGTATATAATTGAAGAAGCAGAGAGGGAGACATGAGAAGAAGAATGCAAGTTCTTACTCGGTAAGTCCCACGGCTCGCACTTGTTGAGTTCAACTTCGGCGATGGCTAATAGCGCAATAGCCAGTGCCCAAGTTGAACTCAACAAGTGCGAGCCGTGCGACTTACCGAGTAAGAACATGCACTCTTCTTTTTCTGCCACCCTCTCTACTTCTTCAACCATATACGTACATATTAATATTCCTTCATCTTAATTCAGAAAGGTCCAAACTTGGCGGCAAAGAAGGTTACTTCTTTTGTGAACGAGGTTCAAAGTACTCAACTGGCCTTCGAACAAATAGAGCGACTGACGTCGGATACCAGAAATCTACGCAAGGACATATAAGGATATTCGAAGGAAGAATATGCTTGTTGGAATGAAAAAGACACTAGTCTTTTAGAGAGGCGGAGCTCCCAAAGGAGAGAAGATAGAGTGGGTAATGCACGAGTATAGATTGGAAGACAGCTACGATAAGGTACAATTAAAAAAAAAAAAACTCAATTTGTTTCTTATTTCGTTTGTAATGAAAACGCTAATTTTAGTTACTTTCGAACATAACAAGTGGATTCTATGCAGGGTGTTCGAGAAAGACTTGCCGGGAAAAGAAAAGAGAGCTTTTGGGCTGGCAAATATTGAAGAAGAGATGGCTCGGGGAGTTCCTCTGCCTCCATTAATGGATGCCCAGGTGACCATCTTCCCCGACTCACTCTACGAAGGTGGGGCTTTTAATTTTTGTGCAGAACCATCGAGCTCGTTCTACGGCGACAACAATGATTTGCTTTTTAATTGAAGTGTGGAATTTTCTTAAGCTTTGGAGTAATTAGATGTTTTTTATGTTTGTGTTTGTGTTTGTGTTTGTGCTGTGATGAGATAATTTGGATGATATTGTAATGTGGTTAATTTGTGCACTATATTTGACACTAATTAATGCATGTTCCTTTTACTAATGATTGTATCAATTTCTCTATATTAGAATTATATGGTACCAATTACATAACATAATCTATGAGTATAGATTGGAAGGCAGCTATGATAAGGTTTAATTAATTAAAAAGCACAATTTGTTTCTTCTTCCATTTGCAATGAAAACTCTAAGTTTAGTTGCTTTCGAAAAGAACAGGTGGGTGATATGCAGGGTGTTCGAGAAAAGCTTGCCAGAGAAAGAGAATAGAGCTTTTGGACTGGCAAAGATTGGATCTTTGTCTTATTTGTTTGAAGAAGAGATGGCTTTAGGAGCTCCTCTGCCGCCATTAGAAAGCTATGATTTCAATAATTATTGAATCAAGTATTATATTGTTGCAAATCAAATGTACAAATATATAGGAAGAGAAAAGAGCAATAAAGGAAAGATAATATATATTCGTAATAATTAATGAGAGTATATTTTATAAATTAAATATAATAAATTTCTGCTATAAATAATGTGATAATATTTATTTGATTATTGATTGAAAATAATGCTCTTTATCTCTCTTTTTCATCACCCTTAGCAGAATGAGAAAGTCTTCCAAAAATATTTCTTTTTCTATTTTCAACCATTAGATGAATAAAAATAAATTCATTTTTATAAAATTAATTTTTATTTGTTAGCAATAAAAAAGCATAGAAATCATATTTATGAATGTAAAATATATATAATGAAATTAACATTCGAATTTTAAAATATTATAAGCGAAGATATTCTTCGTGTTTCTGTAGGAGTGATGAAATATCTTTACTTTTAAATAATTAAAAATGCATTATATATGCTCATTATTTTAGAGGTTTTTCTGAGATTAAGCGTATATATACATATACCAAAAAATGGAATTATTTGAGACTTGCGTGGCAATGCTATTGCTTTTTTTCATGCAACTCTCAACCATTATTTTCTATAAATGAATTGATAATAAATATATTGATCGTTGATAAGCTAATACACTATCTATTAGGATGAGGAATAAACATCACAATGAAGAAACAAACAAGTAAAAGACATCATTTGAATGTTCAGAATTGTATTTTTTATGACATATAAAAATTATAAGATGAAAGTTTTACGAGTGTAAAGTTCTAATCATTTTTCGCCAACGAAAATAAAATTTTAATAAAAAAATTCAATAAAAATTATAATTTTTTTAAAATTGAGATGTGCATAAAGTGATTTACTTCGAGACGAATAAATTTTTCAATTAGGGTGACGGACGAAAATGACTCGGAGTTACCTAAAAATTGGAGTTTTCTCTTTCTATCCTCTCTTTTTCCCTTAGTTTTCCTATGCCTTCTCTGATGCCTTTCTCCACTTTGAGAAAACGAAATTTCCATTTAAATAAAGCTATAATGGCATTAGATATATAAATTTTTTAATAAAATAATATTATTATTATAATTAATTTTCATTATAAAATTCATAAAAATTCTTTTAGGAATTCCAAAAATTATAGAAAAACATTCATAAAATAACTCATTTTATTTGAAAAATCAAATAGACACTTGATGGTCCCAAATGCCCTACTCATATCGACAGGTGCCAAATTTCTTAAATAATTTTAAAAGTGTCAAAAAATTATAAAAAAAATTTGGATAATTAAAGCACTATATTATACATTATGTGCGTGTGACTTTTGTTTAGAGTGAACCGGACTTTTGCTTAAAGTGAAATTCTGGTTCAAATTATATGGTTTGATTTAACATTTTATGAGCTAATAACTATATAGGTACTTTCATTTGCTTTGCCTCGTTTTTTCTCATCATCATTGACTTAATTGACCTAATAACTATAGTAGCTTTCAGTCACAAGCTAGCTTCTACTCGTTGATGCTTCTCAATGCCTCTTCTTCGTACTTTCTCTTGCTTCATGTTGTCGTATGGATCTTTGGTTAGTTACTTAATCTCATAAGTATATTCTTAATTTTTATTATTCATATGATTGACTTGTTTTGGGCTTTCAAATAGTTGGAACTTATTATTATTAGTATTTATTTAAAAATCATTAACTAATTTTATTAATTAAATAACTGTTGTATGCACATAATATATATATATATATATATATATACTACTAGGGCCTTGAGTTTCCACCCATAGCA